TAAATGTTCTAACCTAACCTAACCCAGATATGAGGAATAATAATAAATAATCTTAAATGTTCTAACCTAACCTAACCAAGATATGACGAATAATTAATAAATAATCTTAAAATGTTCTAACCTAACCTAACCCAGATATGAGGAATAATAAATAAATAATCTTAAATGTTCTAACCTAACCTAACCCAGATATGACGAATAATAAATAAATAATTAAAAATATTCACAGATAAAAAAATGATTTTTTTTACTAAATGTACAATTGTAAAACAATATATTTTACATAAATCAAATAAAAAGTTATAAATGTATTTATAAAGTGAAAATAATATTTTTCTTTTTATTTATTTATTTATTAATATTAATATTTTACCAACAGAAAAAGCAAAAATAATCAAATATAATCTGTTGTCATTTAAGCGGTAATATAAAACAAAGTGTCAGTTTTGCTTTTGTCAAAATGTAAGATCATTTTGTTTGTGTTGTGAAATTATTAAAATATTAAATACAATAAAGCATTAATTGTTGTGAAAATGTGTAATGTACATAAAAAAGGATGCGTACTATTCGTTAAAGGTATGTTTATCTGTTGTAATCACTTATTTAGGTAAAGAAATGTATGGAAATGTGTTAGATATGTTATAACTTTAAGTCTCAATAACTTTTTAGTCGTACGTTTCCTCCAAATATTTTTAATATATTTTGACTCTCTGTCACCTCCCCTATCTAAAAATACCACCCACTCCGAATGGTGGTAAAGAAATATATGAAAATGTATGGAAATGTTGTAACTTTAAGTCTCAATAACTTTTGAATCTTTTGTTGTATTAAAAAATTTATTTAACATTTCGACTCCCTATCACGTCCCTTATCCAGAAATACCACCCACTCCGCTAGGGGCCAAGTCCCCAATTCTGAATTTGTGCCAAACGTGATATTTCCCTATATCTCTTCCGGTCTGTACGTTCTCTAACCCGTACGTAGTGGGACTAACTACCTTACCTATCTTGTATGGGCCGTCCCGGCGTGGGATTAACTTCGCCGTCTGTCCACGTCCTGCATCGTTCGGCCCCTGCGTTTTAAGTAGCACCATATCGCCTACCTTATACTCTGGCGGCGATCGCCGTCTCTGGTCAGCAGCCCCCTTTATATAGTTAGTACTGAACGTGCGCATACCTGTCCAATAATATCTAGTGCGAACACGGCCTAAAGTGCGCTCCACGCCGAAATGTCCTGCCAAAGGCGCGTCGTGGAGTTCAGCCATCACTTGCCTGCGTTCGTGTTCGGGCACAACAATACAGCATTCTTCTCCATCGTCTGACTCTAAGCTATATCTATGAAGTATACCATCGGAAATAGTGTACCCACGATCGGACCATGGCCTCCCCCTAGAAGGTTCGTCAGACTCCAAGTCCTCAATGATTTTGCGAATCTCTGGATCTAACAGTTGATTGCTACGGATATCACCACTACTCCTCTTTGGTAAGTCAACGACTGTCATACATAATTCGCACTCACCTTGGTTCTCAGCACAAACTGGTCGCGAAAGCGTATCTGCAACCACGTTCGAGCGTCCCGGTGTGTATTGGATGTTGAGGTCGAACTCTTGCAATGTTAGGGCCCACCTAGCCAGCCGACCACTAGGTGACCTCAGACTCATTAGCCATCGCAAAGGCTGGTGGTCCGTCCTAACCGTTACCTTCGCAGTATCTACGTAACCGCGGAACTTACCTAACGCCCACACGACGGCGAGTGCCTCTCGCTCCGTCGTGGAATAATTCTTCTCTGCACTAGTGAGAAGACGACTTGCGTACTCGATCGGTCTCTCATCGTGTCCCTCCCCCTGCATTAAAACAGCCCCAAGGCAGTAAGCGCTACTGTCGGTGCAGAGAACGAATGGCTTCGACTCATCCGCCTGACGCAGAATGGGAGCGGATACGAGGAGGCGCTTTATCCGCTCAAACGCCTCCTGATGCTCGGCGTCCCATCGCCAGGCACTTGATTTCTTCAGGAGTGTTGTAAGAGGTCTCGCGATCTCAGCATAATTATTAATAAAGCGGCGATACCAACTCACCGTTTGTAAGAAACATTTTAAATGTTTAACGTTCTGAGGGGCGGGCATATTCTCAATAGCCGCCGTCTTATCTGGATCCACCTGGATTCCGCCTGGTACAATAACGTGTCCTAAAAACTTAACAGATTCTCTATTCTGTTGCTCCTGGGTTAACTTAGATCCTTCGTCTGCGCGCAACATCAGCTCATCAGATGCGGCGTGCAATAAATCTGTACCTGCAGGGTCAAGTGTGTACGAATAAATAAAATTGAAGCACTGTCCAGGACTATCCATAAATGTCCAAGTGCGATGGGCAACGTTTATTACCATTCTGGCCCGAGACAAGAAATCTATACCTAGAAGTGTTCTAGTGTCACAACCTGGCAACACTAGTAATTGACACATTACACTATGGCCTTCGATATCTATACCTACCTCGGCCGTCAACAAGTCTCTCCACCCTTGTGTACCGTCAGCCAGGTGTACAAATCGTTTAACTTTACTAAAGTGTACTCCCAAGTCTACTAAAATTTTATATAATAAAGGACTCGCAATACTATGCGTAGCGCCCGTATCCACTATCGCCACTCCGGTACGACCCATAATGGATATATTAACCATAGGATACGATTCACGCGTACTCACGTTAGTTAACTTAATACATGACGCACTTGTATTACCTATACTACTATTATTATTATTAACGCAATTATCGTGATTATTAAAATCTACATCCAAATTATTGAACGAAGTTTTACCATCCGAATTCGTTAAAGTTTTCACACAAATATCACATTTCGACCTCACGACACCTTCCTTACCACAACCGTAACAACGTATACCCTTACGCGTGCTATCGCTATACAAACGTTTATCATTATTATTATTGTTAATAACCTTCTCACGATTGCGACATTCTTCACTAAGATGCCCAAATAATTTACAATAACTACATCGGGGTCTATTATTTTTATTACTACGCGGAGTGATCGCGTTCGTACTATCAAAACTCGATCGAGTGAGATCGCGACCGGTAGTAGTGACCGATGTTCGTGAAATCGCGTTTTTACAATTATTACTATTATTGTTATCCTTATTTACCTTAAGAGTTTTATACATATCCTCCGCGATCCTCGTTTTATACATTAAGTCATCTAAATTACGAACATTATCGCGGGAAACTCTTTTAACAATACGTCGGTGTAATAACCCGTAACAAATATCAACTTGCACTATTTCATCGAGCTTATACGGTAACTTTGCAATTAACGCTCGCACTTTACACAAAAACGACTCGGCGCGTTCTTCTTCTTGCTGCTCCGTCGCGAAGATCTGCCGTAGAATCTGATGCGCGGGCTGCGCCACGCCATACGCCGCGCGTAGGCGGGCGACCGCGTCCGCCCATGTAGTCACCGACGCCTTAACGCCGCGCCACCATACTGCCGCTTCACCCTCCAGCAACATCGGCAATCCGCGGAGTGCGAGCTCGTCACTCACGGCCGCACACTCCTTAAATATCTCGACGGCATCCAGGAACGCTTCTAATACCTCGGCGTCCTGGGACGACCCGTTGAACCGCGCCGTGCACTTAGTAAAATTTGCGTCGACACTCGCGACGCTGGCAGCAGTACCACTCCCGCTGTTCACATTATTTGTTTGAGAGGCCACGACTGGGGTGGAGGCCCTAAATTCACTGCTGGACGTCATCAGAGAATTGATAAGGCTTCTATTTGCTTCCATTTGCGCACGCGTGATCGTTTCCATCAGCGCGGATAGGAAGTGTTCAGGGAGCTGGGATGCTGGTTGCTGTGTCGAGCCGGCTCGCGCAGCTCCGTCCACGTGGCCGTGCTCGATGGTGCTCTCCTCTCCCTCTGCGGCATCATCCCCTCGCTGCTGCCGAAGCGTTTCCCCTCTCCTCGTCATAGGCATCTTCACGCACTAGTATATAAGTTTAAAAGTTCGAGCCCCACGTTGGGCGCCAGTTTAATAGGTACACAACAGTCTATTAAAATATATTTATTTCACTTGAGGTTTGACAAGAAAACTTATGGTTATTGGAAATTACACAAAAAATTACATAAAATCTTACAACTGCGTGAAAATGAGAGTCGTGGAGGATCGTTATGATACAGATGTTTACGCGTTCGGCGCTCGCGGCTCTCTGCCTGGTCGAGCCACGCCGTCGCTCACGCGTTCGCGGGAGACGGGGGGGCGCGGGCGCCTAAACTATACGATCGCACGGAACACGGCCCTACAGGATCGTACATGTTCCGACACGATACCCCGCGATCACCGTTGTTTGTAAAAACCCCGCGTTACACAAATCAATAATTAAACGAGGTAACTTGAAATTTAATATTATTTATTGATAACATAATTGATAGTGAGTAATGATAATATTTTTATGAGATTACTAATAATAAATATTTATTTTTACAAATTTATTTACTATAATCACCTTTAATAATATTTATTTATTATTCTTATATCGCCCTATCGCTGAATTTACACTAGAGGCTGGCCTAGTAACTAGTACATTCTTTTTCTATGAGGAAATAAAACATCACATTTTATGACTGTTATAGTGTACGAGGTACATACGCGATGCAGAAAACAATAATAGAGATCCTATTTCTTTTAAAACTTTGTACAAATAAAAAGTTGTTTCTTTTTCAGAAACACTAAATTCGTAATAATCTAGCAACATTATGTATTTGGTTGTTGTTAATGTTGCCTGTGACTGTGAGTGAGAATTGAGATTGTGAGTACTGGATAGACGTACTTATTCTGTGGAGTTGTGATTTGACGTGAATTGAATATATTTTTCGTAGTCGCCCTCATTCGATTAAAATTTATTTAATACAAAGTTATTTTTACGCGTGAAATAATTAATAAAGACATTATTGAATATATGTGATGATGTGATTGTAAACAAATACATTTTATAATGGAGACGATTGCAAATCAAAAGGGTAAGTAATCGTCATCAGTAATAGTAATGCTTAGTTCTTGTTTGTATATGGATAACTGTACCTTACGACATGATTTAACTTGACGTACGACACCTGTTTTTTAATATTTTATAGCAATTTGTTTATCATTATATAAAATACATGGTCAGTTGCTAGCTCTCTATGAAAGTACATACATTTTTATGTCATATTTTATTAACTTTATGGGGCTCTTATGCGATCATTCATCATACGATCTTGAGAGTTGGACGTGTGTTCTTAGGTATTGCCTAGTTTGTCATATGGTGTGAGTCATTTTCATGGCATTGTGATGTCATGTGCATGCTAATGCTAATAAACAAAACACTACATACATTTGTATAAGGCTGATGAAGTAGTTAGTCAAAATCTACAGTCTACACTATACAATTGTTGTTGTATGAATTATTTACTTAATAGATTCTTTTATATGAGATTGTTAGTACACCCAAAAATTAAGAATATTCATTATTTTATAAATTACCTATGTTGGATTGGTAAGAGATAAAGTTGTGTATCTTTGATAAATAAAACATGGATTATTTTTATCACAATCAAGTATAAACATAAAGTGTAAATAATTCAATGGACAAATGATATCAATAAATCAAATTTATTTATAGGATTTATATAATGTACTATTATTTTAAATATCATGTTCTATGTGGTTACCCATGTCATTTTTGTGGTTATAATATCAGTAGATTTTCCTTACTATACATTTCCTTAAATACTACTGAATTTATTTACAGTATTAGAGAGCTTATTATTTAATTGTAACAACATCACATTATTTATTTTCATATTTTTTAAATTATGTTAGTTATTTGTTTCTGTTGTAATTGTCTAGATTTTTTTTTAATAATAAGGTTGTTAAATACGTTTTTAATTTACCTTATTATATTAAAACCTCACCCTTGCTTTGCTCGGGTTTGCCTCTAGACAAACAAAAACAAATGTATCCCGCGGGAGCCATACATTTTTCCAGGATACAAAGTAGCCTATTTGTTATTCTGATGTATGAACTATATTATTGTAAAGTTTCATTAAAATCCAATCAGTAGTTTTTGTGTACTAAGCTGTATAATTTACTATAGTTTTTTAACTATCCCATGGGAACTCTTTAATTTTCCAGAATGAAAAGTACCTAAAATTTTGACCGGGGATATAAGATACCACCATGCAAAATTTCATTTAAATCGGTCCCAGAGATTAGGAGATTAGCCTGTACAAACATACAAACACAGAGAAACAAAAAAATAAAAAAAAACTGGATTTGTTCTATTTCTCTTCTTACATCTCCCTGACTCGGTTTTTAGCATTTTTTTTTCTATGTACAGACAGACATTCAACCTCTACAGTTCTATTATAGTATAGACGACTATTATAAAGTTTAGTCACCACAGCTTTCTAATAATAAGGAAGGCTTATAGATGTTTTCAAGGAACTAAGGTATCCTAAAATTTCTATTAGATAATATATTTATAGTTAAATCTAAGAATGTATTTTTACAATTCCTAAAGATATGGATATCACTTTTTAATTTGTTGATCACTGTTTATTTGTAATAGGTGAACAATATCTAATGTAAATCAAACATTTAAAAATTATCTATACAGATAAATAAAATTGAAGTGTCTGTTTGTAATGTCAAAATAACAGCTTTTATTAAATGCATATGGAATTATATTTGGTATTTATAAGAAAAACAAAATTTTGTAAATTATTGTCTATCTGTCTGTCTATATGTCTGTCTATTTGTTCTGGCTAATCTCCAAAAAGGCGGGGCCGATTTTGACGGGACTTTCACTGGCAGGTAGTTCATGATATAAAGAGTAACTTAGGCTTCTTTTATGTCAGTAAAAGAATTAGGGTTCTTTCGTTTGCTCAAAAAAAAGTACCTAGAGACGATCCCGAGGAAGGGAGGGTGAATCACTTGTTACATATAAAATTGTAGTAAACGATACCAATACAATTTCATTTATGTTAACTAATTACGTATTTGCAGTAAGTAAATAAATTTAGTTCAGCTGTTTTAGAAAATGGCAAATAGATATAAAAACATAAAATTAACTTTATATATTATATATTAGCTATATTAGCTAATACAATAATATTTAATTTAATTCAAAGTTAAGATATGCACATAATATTGTTATAAATAATATTGAAGAACTAATAAAAAAAAATGTTTACATATTATATTTTAATATAATCAAGGAAAATGATGGGTGTAAAGTTTCAAATATTAATATTATTATAATACTTTTACTGGTTATTTTGATACTCATGATTTTGAAAGTGTCCCAAAACTAACCAAGAGACATTATATTTAGTATAAAATTGTCATATTAAAATTTTAAATTTAAAAGAGCTCACAGGAATAAAACATTTATAATAATAGACTATTGAGTTCATAGTTCCATGAGCAATTGTATGTATGGGTCTGAACAAAATTATTATATTAAAAAAAATTAAAACCTGAAGTTGTATACCTTCAAAATGTTAACAGGTATATAAGGAAAAAAGTCCATAAAATACCCTCGATGTCATGCTATCCCATGAAAAAGTCTACAACTTTTATAGATGATACTTTTTACAATAACCTCAAACTTTCGAGATATTTGCGAAAAGCTTTTTTTTTATTTTTTCTTGGATTTTTATTTTTTATTTCTGCCATAATTTTTTAATGTTCATGAAACTAGGGGAATGTAATCTTCGAAATACATATAATAACCAAAATTTTTTTGTAATTGAAATATTTAGCTGTTTCCAAGAAAATGTTGCATGTTTTCGTCAGGCTGAAAATCATCCCAACTTTGTAGTCGCTCTGTAAAAACACCCTTAAAAATTGAAAAAGTTGGGAGAAATCGACAATGTTTATGTATGATCATTTTTTTTTATAATAATTGAAAAAGTGTAATACCTAACTGACCAAATTTTTATAAACTGATTACACCAATGTGTTTTACCGGAAAAAACGAAAAAAACTTTATATTAGAGTTTTTAATTTGCCGCTTATTATTTATACAATGAAAAAAAAAATTAGTCACGTAAAGTATACCCCTTCTCTTGTAATTTTTCCCGTAGGATCTCTATGTAATTTTTTTCGAATATATATTCGAAAAAAATAAGATATATATAAGTATATTTTATAAATTTATATGTATATATTTTATAAATTTTTATCGATATTGGAGCGACAATCTTTTTGTTTCTTCTTCGAGAAGTAGAATTCAAGACGAAAAAAATGAACCATACTTGAAAATAGAACGATTTTTTAATGTAAACATCCACTTGAATTTGGGGGTGATTTTCAGCCTCCCGAGACCCCCCCCCTAGTTTCACTAAAAAAATAAAAAACATTGCGGAAATTAAAAATAGAAGACCAAGGAAAAATTGAAAAACGGTTTTTTTTGAAATATCTCGAAAACTTTAAGGTTATTGTAATAATTTTGTGGAAAACATTTTTCGATAGGACGACAGTAAGCCGGAAATTGAAAAAAAACTACTATTCAACGCCTTTCATCCCCTTATTTCTCGATTTTAATTTATTTAAATTTTTATTAAAATAAACGGATTCCGATCGGTCTACATGGTCAATTATTTTAGATAGGAACATGCAAACCTTAACACGTATGCGATAAAAAATTAAATTAGTTCATAATCTAACAGTCTCAAAAATCTTTGCCTAATTAAATAGACAAAATAAACTTAGTATTTATTGTAACAAACGTAATTACAATTCATAAATTGAAAATTGAATTGAAATTTGGTTCACTAGCTAAAACACTGAGAAACATTAAGTATTTATAAATATTAAACTGTCACGAAGTATAGTGACTTAAAAAAGCGCAGCGAAATTGAACTGAAATTCGGACGAATTTCGGTCGAACTTTTTATTTTCACCAAATGTTCGGCCGAAGTTCGTATTCGGTTCAAACCACATTCGGCCCATGTCTATAAAATATACATTCAATATATACTCCAAAAAAATTTTTTTTTTTGTGTCTTAACTATCTTCTTATATTTTTATATACTTGAGTATTGAGTATTCTGACATTTCTTTCTTTCTTTTCAGTATCTTGTATAGTAAACTATGCATATGATGCTTCAGAGCCAGATGAGTTAACAGTACGGCCTGGAGACATATTGAGAGATGTAGAAAGACTCTCTGGAGGTTGGTGGAGAGGAGAACTCAAGGGACGCAGAGGCATGTTCCCTGACAATTTTGTGTCGGTGCTAACAGAACATAATAATACAAGGTAATTTATGAATATTACTATACTTATTATTAATACATATGTATCAAAAAGTTCATTATGGCAACTATTTTTATGCACTATTCAAAATTTTATGGAAATTATATCATGAATCTTTTTTGCATTCATTTTATATTTCTATCACTTCAATGTTTATAATAAGCTGATAATAAAATTTGTTTTTCTATTTAGGGGATTCCTATGCCTGGTGATGTTAAAAAGGGCTGAATGATTACTCTCTATTATTGTTAAATAAAGAATATTCAATTTATATTGTGAACATAAAATAGGGACTTTTTTTTAAATTACTTCACCTTTACTGACTAAGGATTTGTTAGTTGTTTTTTTCGGAGTTGCCATTAAGAGAAGCCTAGCATTACCTTCTAGAAATATGAATTATGGATGAAAAATAAAAACCGACTGCAAAAAGTTGGTGCCAGCCAAACCAACTCAGAAAATATCTGATTAGGTATCTATAGTAAATGAAAACTACGAATCACTTATTTTCTACTTTTTAGTGTTTTATTTTGAAGTCGATTTTTTGAGATTTTTTTTTTCAAGTTTTTATTTTTCCATTTTTAGTGTAGACATAATAAGACAAAGGCAAAGTAAGAAGAAACTATTTTAATAAAATATTCAGTTAATTTGATGCCAATTTTTATATAAAGACTGAAAAATTAAAATTTGCTTTTATTAGTAACACTAAAAATATAGCTCTAAAATCTAATTCTAACATATTAGGTTTGTCAAATCAAACAAAATAGGCCCAAACTCAAAGTATACTACCTATCCACTTTCTGGTATTACCATCAGATCAGGTCGACGATACCGGATGACTCTATCATCAGCAATAGAAATATGTACTTGCAAAATTTCAAGTCATTATGACAATTAGAAGTAGGTAAAATTTTCATTAGCTATTTTTTCAGAATCCAAATTGGTTAATAAATGATGGAGTTCTGATGTAACAAATATAGAAAAAAATACAACCGAATTAAAATCCTTTTTTTGAAGTCGGTTGATTAATGAATGTTGTCGTATTTTTAATCACTCGTTTTTAAATATACCTTTGATTAGTATAGAAGTTATGATTACTCATTTTATCTTATCTTTTAAGATAACACTTTTGATAACAGACACAATCTGTTACTCAAGTTTGTGTTTTTTTTTAGTTGTGACATATACATAATTTTTTTTATATTATAATTTTTAAAAGTATGAAGCATTATTGAATTTAAAAAAATTAAAAAGTTCAATGTTTTTAAATTAAAAAAAATATATAAGTAAAATTAATGTTGAGTAGTTTAAAAAAGGTATTTAGTAAAAGGTATGTCATATATCACAATGCCACAAACAATAAAAAGTGAAATATTGTATTAAATAGATGCTACTGTAGTTAATATCTTATGATTTTAACATTAGCAATCATTAATTGAAAAACCAATTATTTTTTATAAGTGTGTGTGATCATTAAAGATTTATTTTGAAGTGAGTTATTTATTTATAAGTGAGTTATACTCGTGTTGTTCTGTAGGTCCGGTGGTGTGCAAGGCCGATGTCGAGCGGTTTTCAGTTATCAACCTGCAAATCCTGATGAGTTACCATTGTGTGTCGGTGACGTCCTAGAAGTTTTAGGGGAGGTATAATATTTTTTTGTTTCTTAGTGTATATAACTTAAAAGTTTAAATATAATATTACATATATTTGTGGATTCGACATACATATTATATTAATTTTTATTTATAATTACATTTTTGTTATAATTGAAATGTGTTGGTGGGGCAATTTTTAGTGATAAAATTTATTATTTTAGTACATTGCCTGTAGCGTCGCGCGTGTATGTTATATTTTAGCCCGTAAGCACTTTAACGTGACCCTCACAATATTCAAGTTGTAACTTTGGAAATACTACTGAGTGATTGAAAATAAAATTAGCTTAATTTTTTATAAATTTCTGTTACTAATTACGTTTTATTACTGCCTATATCATAAACCTCATTAAAATCAGTTCAGCGAATCTAGCGAGTAATGCGCGATTATATAGACAGTAGATTTACCTTGTATTATTCAGATATCTTCAAGTATTACTGTTACCATTTGTTATTACCAATTGTTAATACCAATATGAATAAATTGTTGTTATATTTTATTTTTTAGAGAAAACATAGTCATGAGAGAAACTGAGATTTTTGACGTCTCAAAAGATTGAGTCCAAGAATTCCCAAGGGAAAACCCTTAAAGATTGTTTCGTTTAGAATAAAGTCAAGTATTCGCGTAAATCTAAAATATAATTAAGCCATTATGTTAGGAATATAGATATTATGAATATTAGATTCAAAATAAAACGGCAACAAAATCCAAAAAGGTAGTTGCTTATAAATTAATATATTGATATTGTGATTCAACAATCACATGTAGTAGAAGATCCGAAGTACCATTCTTTGGATCCTATACATATATGTAGAATAAGAACATGTTTAACACCATAAAATATAATAATAACAAATTGTAACAACGGTAATACTTAAAGATATCTGAAAAGTAATATAATCTACTGTTTATTTTATATAAATGTACCTTTTGAATACACATCAGGTAGAAGAGGGTTGGTGGCAAGGCCGCCGTGCGGGTCGCGTGGGGGTGTTCCCCTCGAACTTCGTGGTGATGTTGGAGCCGCCGCCCGCGCAGCCTGCGCCCGTTGAACCCGCGCCCGCCTTACCACCTAAACCAAGTGAGTTGGATTTACCTATTTAAAAAAAAGAGTAATTAAAAAAAAAAAAATAGTAACACGGATTTTCCTTTTAAGCATTTAAGATATACATATTATGTACATTGTACATATATACATGGGCTCGAAGCGATAAGAGTTTAATTTAGGTGGTTTATGTATGGCAACACTAATGTTCTAAAGTTTGTATGTTGGGGTTCGGTGTAGGGGACAGTCGCTGAAACTACTTATGTGATCATGAAGATTCTTTCAGTGATATTATGGTACAATGCCAAGTGCTATAGGCTAGACCCCTTTAACTTATAATAACATAGATTGATTCTTCATTTAAGTAGTTTTTTAGTATTTGTTTTTAGTAAGTGAGCCAATGACCTTTCGGTTTTATATACATACATATAGATATTTATAACTTAATTACCGGAAATAATTTAAATTTAGAATTTGATAAATGCACTCAATTTACATAAATATTAATTTTACATAAATATTATATAATTAAATTTGTAGCGATGTTACATATTTAAATGTGATAAACGTTTATTTTTATGTGTTAAATAACTTTCTCGTATATTTTTGACTAGTTATAATAAATACCATATTCATAACAAAGAAACTGGTCAAGCCCGGTATATTACAACTGTTCATAATTTTAGCGAATGTGCTGTTATGAAGATATTCTTATCGGCAAGTACTAGTTACACCGTAAAAAAGATGATATCATTTGATTTTATCATTTATAGCATAACGGTAAATTACTATGTGGAAAGCAAGTGAAATTTTTTATTTTTATAATATTAAATACATTTTTTTGGGTTATTTCTAAACACACACGTTAAGATTTACTTCGGCATTATCGCTTTATAATTTGTATTTTGCAAACTATATTTTAAGTTCTGTAATTTTTATAAGAATATAGGTATATTCTATTTATGTATACGATTTTTTTGCTTTAATCGTAAATTAGATACATAATCTCATCATAGTGTTGAAATCTCATCATTGTGTCGTAAGTCCAGCTAAAACATCTAATCAGATTTCCGCAAGTCGTTTACGATCATTACCGCTTTTATGTGCAATGTATAAAGTTACTCGAGTATTTTAGAACACATTTATATAATATATAAATAGTGTTCTTTAAGAATTAAGTGCAAAATAATTTGAAATCATTATGAAAATAAATAAATAGCCTTATTTTATTGGTAATTTTTATGACCACTTAGCTCTAAAAGTCTACTTCGACATTTTTATGAATTGTGCATGTAGAATAGCTTTAGAATTCTTGCTACTGTAAAATATATATTAAATAATAATTTCTTTCTTAACTTTATGTTACTTAACAAAAAGTACATTCGATATATACTTATATAAATATTTGACCTACATATTTTCATTATAAACCGTACCAAGTAGGTAATGCTATTTAGTCGATGTGTTATTGTAAATCTCTTATTGGATTTTAACCCAGTTTTCGCATACAACACTTGGAAGTTCAAAGTTCCCAACACATCGAGTACATTATGTAGAGCAGGGTAAATGAGCTAACGATGTGAACATTGATCCCATGCAGTCTTTGTATGCAAAGAACCAATAGTTTCTTTCACTTACGCCTATGAATATGGTTGGCACTCGTAGCCTTTCAATTTATATTATCAGGTTGTAAATTATTGCGTTTTATAATTTATTCACAATTAAATGGTGTGAAAATGTGTTTGTTAGTTTGTCGTTCTTTGACTTACGGCCGATTTCGCCGACGTCACCTAAGTTTAAGGGATCCCCTAAACGTGGTTAGGAGGCTGTTAGGGGACAGTTTCTGTTTCACCAACAGTTAGGGGTCACCTAAATGTTAAGAGGCCCCCTAAATTTAGGTGCTCGAAATACGGGCTCTTTAACTGGCACATACTTAAGTGACTTGTGAGCTCTCAAGCAGCACGATAAATGAATAAATGTATCCATATAAGCGTATACTTAAGAGACTATTGCCCGATTTCACCAACGTCACCTAAGTTTAAGGGATCCCCTAAGCATAGTTAGGGGGCTGTTAGGGGACAGTTTCTGTTTCACCGACAGTTAGGGATCACCTAAATATTAAAAGGTCCCCTAAATTTAGGTAATCGAAATATGGGCTTAAAGACGATCGTAAAATGAAATTTAATGTAGGGGCTAGTTTAGGGGACTTTTAAGTTAGGGATCCCATACGTAGGTGGTAGCTTATGGGTTGTTGGTGAAATCGGGCAGTGTCAAACAGCTATATTGTTTCAAAATATCGATAAGTTTGAAGACGAAGTAGACACTAGTGTCAAAGACGAATCGTCACATAGTTATGTATCGCCTAGTTAGGTGTCAAATATTATGGTGAAACCAAATTTCACTTAGGGGCTAGTTTGGGGGAGCTTTTAAGCTAGGGTCCCATACGTAGGTGGTAGTTTAAGGGATGTCGATGAAAAAATGATTTTTCCATAGACATATTCTATGGACTGACAAGCGTTTTCCCGCGGACCCGCTTGCGTAGATCATTTATGAATTATATTTCCAAATTAAAGGATATATGAGCTATATTATTGTCAGGTTTCATCAAAATTCGTTCAATAGCTTTTTCGTTAACGCGTAAAAAACATCTATCCATACATCACATAGTAAATTTTTTTTGTTTCACATTGAGAAGTTTTCGTGAAATATTAGTACGTGTATTAGAAAAAGTTACTCGTACTTTAGAACAAGTCTTGTTGATGAGTCACTTTGTTTTGTCAAGACTCTACATATAAAATTTATTTATACCTTAGGCAGCGTTTATGATAATGTATGTAGGTACATTAATTTACATTAGCATAAAGCTTTTTGTAGGTGTGCCTAAAGCTATGAGATTTCGAATTTTTGTATGTTATTATATTTAAAAACTAACATTGCCCGCGGCTCCGCCCGCGTTCAGATGACCAAAAACCAAATTCTTAGGTTTTACATATTAGTATATTCTTACATTGCATTGCATGCATTACATGCGGTAACAGACAAACAGACAAAAATTCTAAAAACTATAGATTCGGCCTCTGTATCGATAATAATACCTATTTCCATAAGATTTTCCAAAAAAAAATTCATGTACAGATTCGGCTCAGTTGTTTCAACCAGACCGACTGGAAATAAAGTTAGGTAAATCGCTTACACGAGAGCACAAATTGGTCCAACAACGATGCAGGGACATTAATAATTCAATTTACTCACTTTCATCCTGTACATTAGCCGTAACCAGACAGTGTGTCAACTGTGAATCATTCATTGTCGGGGGCTCATCGCTTTGATAGCATATCAAAGGAATCTCTTCGTCATTCTTATTAATATTGTAATATGAACGTTACTGTTTGTTTTATAAATAGAAACACTTAAATTATTATAATTATTATTTATTATTTATAGGTACTAGATAATATGAATTGAATTGGTGTGTCTCTTAAGAACATAATGACCTACGAAATAGAAATATACTTCCAACTAGCGACTCACCCTCGCTTCGCTCTGGTCCGTCCCTGGTGATTCTTTACAGTGACAAAACTTTTTTGTTTACGAACCGATTGAAATAAAATAAATATTAAATATTAAGTGAAGCTTACCACGATACATTAGTGAAAACCGCATCCAAATCTGTTTGGACGTTTCTGAAATTAGCGCGCACAAACGCACAAACAAACAGACAACAAAATTTAAAAGTCATTGTTTTGGGTTCTATTGCGTTAATGAAGACCCCCAATAATAGTTTTTCTTAAATATCTTCCATGTTCAGACAGCGATCAGTTACACTTTTATTATATGCATAGATTTTACGTGTGGTACTTCATCAAACTGATAAAGTCGATTATATGAGGAATAATAAGTTATGTTTTTCTCACATCATTTATTTATTTAAATAATCTTCACGTTAGCTTGGATAGTACCTATATACTAGCTACCACTACCTGTTAATTGTTAGTGTCAATATTACCTATTAACGGCGCTTCCCAATAACCTATCTATAGTTTTCCTTAATAAATATTTGACATAATTTTCATATAGGTCGTGTCAAATTTCTGGTCTAGGAAGGAAAACTTAAGAATATGTACATAGGTTATTGGGAACCGGCGTAAGCTACAACCTGCTCAGCTATCAAATGTAACGCTTTTATTTGGACAAACATTAAAAAGTAATGTGTATAAGCTTTTCTCTAGTATGGGATTCGAATTCATGGCAATAGTTGATATTCCAGATCGATATTAATTTTCCATATTTACTTTTCCATAGAGTTAATCACAAAATCTAGAGTCAATTTTATAATTAACTTTATTCATCTAGTTCTAGACACAGACAGTACTTTTGAAATTAACAGTCAAAAATCCTGTGTCAAATTTATGATTTCTAATTTAATATACGAGCACATTTACATTGCCACTAAACTTACGGCTATAGTAAACCACTACATAGTATAAAACAAAGTCGCTTCTCGCTGTTTGTCTGTCCCTATGTATGCTTAGATCTTTAAAACAACGCAACGGATTTTGATGCGGTTTTTTTAATAGAGTGATTCAAGCGGAAGGTTTTTTCATAATATATGCTTATTATAGTACAGAAAGGTTGAGAAATTCAAAGATTTGTATTGTGCGCTTACATTGCCTTCCTAGGGACGAACCCGAGCGAAGCGGGGGTGTATCGCTAGTATCTTTATATTTCCAAGAATAAGTGATGTGACATGGAAATTTATGTGAATGAAACAAAGCGTCCTCAGTAGGTATAATGTTTATTGTATAATCGATTGTATTATCAGTCACCTAATAAAGCTGCTTTGTAATAACGAACTTTTTTTCTTCAAATATAGTAACTTTTGTTCGAGTTCTGAGACTTAATTTTGTTTCCCAATGTACAGTATATAGTGATTAGTGAACACTTAGGATAGTTCTTTTTATTATTGAATCTCATATTTTTCTTACGTCCGCTTGTTTAGTAATGTTTTTGTTATCCAATTTTATTAATTACAATATTTTTTATTATGCATTTATAAATAGCCTCTGATCTACATTCATACTTAAATGTTTATTACCTAATATTATAAAGCTGTAGAGATTGTTTTCTTTTTGCTTTTTGAAAGCGTTATCTTTAAAACTATCGGCCTCATTTTAAAATTCTTTTTGCATTTTATATATTATTTAATATTAATATTTATTGACGTAGGTTTTATATTACCTATTATCATGCTAAAGCCATTAAGAGCGGAAGACTACTAAATACGAGTATACTTTCATTAGCACTCTTGTATCAACTTTTACATTTTTAACGTAATACGCAAGAGGATACGCGAGCAAAAGATAGTTTTTTTTAGAATAACCAGGGCCGTTACGTAACTATAATAATACGTCTAGCTAGTAAGTTTTTTCATACGTTTTTTTACAATGATTAAATAATTAATCTGTTATTGCTATACTAAAGCCAAAAGATATTTAAACAATATTATAAATTGTTACAGTTAAGGAGCAATGTCGCGTGTTATTCCCTTACGCTGCTGTGAACGAAGATGAACTAACGTTGTCAGAGGGCGATATAGTTAACATTGTGTCCAAAGATGCTCCAGACCGAGGGTGGTGGAAAGGAGAGCTCCATGGCAAAGTTGGACTGTTTCCTGATAATTTTGTTCAATTATTACCACCTAGTAAGTAGATTTTGTTCTCATTTTAATTTTTTTTTTTTTAGATGTGTAAATGTTATTCTTGCTTTTGATATTTGTAGTATATATCTTTAGTATAACAATAAGCTATATTATAATACCTAAATATTTGAAAACATCCACATATAAATAAGACTAACATTTAAAATGTTACAGTTTTTATAACAGTATATAGTAATATTTTACCCGAAATTAAAGAAATGAGCAGAAACTAATAAAATTGCAAACCCAACTAAAATATGTCTATTATAAATTAATTTCATTGCGGAATCGATATAGTTGAACAGAAAAAAAACAAACATCGTACCTACTCGGTGTGACCGATTAGGCTTACGTAAAAGCTGTTGCGATAACGTGTCGTCACAAGGTCAACTACAACTTTAAGACAACTATTAACAATAACATACGCTGCCGTCTGCCGTCACACGTAAAGAATGCATCATAATCGGAATCGTGCGTTTATTTCATTATAACAGTATATTTTTTAATATATGGATATATGTACTATGTTTTTCCGTGGTTTCGTTTGCATGCGTATTGGACCATAAACTTTATGTATTTCAAAGTGTCACGTTTCTGTCGGTATAAAATATGTACTATCGTTGTAAGAGCCCAATTCATATTTCCGTCCACTCATTTCTAAGAAATATTCAAAACAAACAGACATTACTCTACATTTAAAAAAAAATGTTTTTAAATGTAGAGAGATTAGTATATCTCACTTAGTGAAATAAGTTTTTTAATTTATAAAAGCTTTTTTATCTATAAAGAAATGTATATATACGTTGTTAATTGCATCATTAGAAGTTTTTTTTGCAATTAATTGTAATATTTTCAAATAAATTGCCGGAAAATTTGAAAATTGGGAAAAAGTGAGGGATTTTTCTATAAGTTTTTTTTAGGAATTTAAAAAACTTTATCTATCTGTTTGCTTTTACATGCTAATCTCCAGATCGGACTTTAACTGGACTCATTGGCAGGTAGAGAGGATAACGGTGAAGAGTGACAGACTCTACTCTCTTCTCTCTTATTTTCTTACTGTCATAGCATAGCGAGTGGGGCCACGACAGAAATCTAGTTATTGAAAAATTATTTTATAGCATTTAGAATGGGTACTAAGAGAAGGTTTTCCAGGGGATAGAAAATAGACATTTATCTTATGTGTAGCTTTTACATTTGTTTGAATAACGCGCAAAATATGGACTTAGAATTAGTTTCAAATAATAAATTTTATTTTTGTACAATTAGGTACCACTTTACATAAACTTAAAATTTTTCAGCAAATGTGTTAATCAAAAGTTATAAATATATACTTTCTTCTTGGTAAAAAAAAATTTAAAGCGAGTTAAGCCTCGTGCAAACGATAGAGATTCAATATTACAAATATACAACTAAGTTTTGTTCAGAAGGTCAAGGACGCAGATGCTATTCCTATACCTTGTGTCAACACTATTACAGCTACGGAACTTTTCATGCAAACATTTTGAAAGGTTTCCTTTTAACATGCTTGAAAGAAAAGCAAAAGTCTAAGAAATTACAAATTAATATTGTACTTATATTATTATCAATTAATATTTAAGGAGCATTGGAGTTTTTATGATATAGTTTATAAGGAAATATGGATATTTTATGTAGGTATATGTATTATAATTTATAAACTTAAGAAAGTAACCCTTATAGGTTAAAGAAAACTATTCATTAAAAATAATAATTTCAGCGATCGTCAAAAAAAGAAAACTTTTCAGTCGTTCTTGATTGTTTTAAATTTCTAGACCTTCCAAAATATCACTAGACTAATATACAAACAAAAAAACTGATATTACTTTGTTATATACATAATATGTAAATACTCCATAAATAGATAAAATGCACGTTTCCTCAATGTTCACGCGTTATTTATATAAAAGAAATCAATTTTATAAAATAACAATGCGTGCATAATTTTTAAAGCCTCACGTATTACCGTCACGGATATATTATGTGCACTAGCGACTCATCCTTGCTTCGCTCGAGTTCTTCCCTAGGTTGCTTCCCAATACAAACTCATTCCCATTCTCACCCCCTTAGGGATGGTTTCGGGATAAAAACTATCCTATGTCCTTCCCAGGGTCTCAAAGTATATTCTTAACAAATTTCATCTAAATCGGTTCAGTAGCTTCGGAGCCTATTCGGTACAAACAAACAAACAAAATGTTTCCTCTTTATAATATCAGTATAGATATAAGTATATTAGTAAATATTGACACTAATTGTATTACTGGTAGCCGCCTCCACGTTGATATTCGAGGTTTTGCTATTGACATTTCTTATGAAGGTCTCGAGTTGAGAGTGGTAGAAGTCGTGATTTTGCGTAACCTCACCTCATCGGTCGTGGTTTAGCGCAGTATTTTAGTATTTTAATAGTGTCGAGTGAACGTTGATGCAATATTGGATCCGTTTCGAATTTACTCCACTTGTGACTTTTCTGTACTTTCAAAATGGGTGTTGAAAGTGAGTTTGTGTTGTGTTTACTATTCAATTATTATTATTTTTTTAAGTTTGTTATTGGTATGAATATTAGAGATATGAATAATTAATTAATATGGCATCTAGACGTTGTTCGATCGAAGTAAAATATGTGAAGTGTTTAAATTAATATTTTTGGTACTATTAATTTATATTATACTTCAATTTATTTCCTTGAATTTGTAAATTCTTAAAATTTCATAATTAATCATCCTTTCGTCTTTCCTGTTCTAATCACCGATTAGTTAAGGTTTTGCTCGACTTATCGCCTGTGCTTTCATCATCGCCTGCTAATCATTTGCGAAAATGTCATGAGAGAGTGCGTTTTAAATGTTTATTCGTGTGTTACAATCTAATTATAGTGTCATAGAGAAGGTTTACGTATATTTTATTTGAATAATTGTGAAAATCTATTCTTGGAAGTGAAAATTCAGAATAAAATGGTTCAAGTGCAGCCGCCGTCTCCAAGTAATTATTATGTTTACGGAAGCAAGTGAATTGTGTTTACAAACCGGTATAAGATAATAATAGCGAAATTGCATTATTTTTCGAATTATAATATCGATCTTTCTTAGATTTACGCGAATATTTGCCATTTTAAATAAAACTATCTTTTCGGATTTTGTCGCGGATTTATAAAAGTTTATATTGTTATGCGGATTTATATAGTTTTATTTAAAATATCGATCTTCGATAAATAATTGAATATCAAAATGAAAAAATATTGCTTGAAGTTTTTAAAATACCGGTTATGCATAGAAATGATAAAATGTTTTTGTGTTTAGGATATTTTTTCATATCATTTGTTATATCAAATGTATAGGAAATATATTTGAATTACAGTAGCGCAAGAGCCCGAAGAAAAGAAACCTGACAGACCACCGGCGAAAACCAGTCCACTCTATCCTATATTGAATAAGTACACTGAGAAAACTGCCTCTGTCAAAGAACTCACTACGTCAAAAGTAAGGTAAGTTAACATATTTTCTTATTGATCCATACATTTATGTGTAACTAGCGACTTACCCTCGCTTCGCTCGAGTTCGTCCCTAGGTATGTTTTAATTTTTTTGAGCGGAACCCTAACTCTTTTTCTATAATAAAATTAGCCTATCTTACTCCCTTTAACATCGGCTATCTTGCAGCGAAAAGTAAAAAATGTGTTTTTCTTATAAGTATCTTATATAATTTCATATGCATTTAGTAAAACACTGTTATTTTGACATTACAAACAGACACTTCAATTTTATTTATCTGTAGTTTTCGTAATCATATTGTCATCGGTGTAAAAAGGTTCCCATAGCTTACATATCGCAATATTATGACTAGTCGAGTCAATAAACATGATTTTTTATACAATAATATCCAATAATAAATACTCAGAAATAGATAAATAAAAAAAAAGTTGATATAATAATTTTTAATAATATGTTAAGAAAAATATACTATATACTATATAATAGAAAAATATATAGAGTTACACTTTGTGATTTTTAATTTGGTATATCGTTTTAGTTAAACAGTGATTGTTTTATTATTTGTTAGAATGATAATAGTTATTGAACTTATCACCCTAAGTGATAATCTCAAAAATAAAATAATAAGCACATTCAAATCTAGATGTACTTCTACATATAAAAATATTCAGCATAAATTAAAGACTTGACTAGTTACTCAAGCCACCTTACGACTGCTTAGCTAATCTTTAAAAGGAAATTGCACTATCGCACCATGACGGACGGTATTATGCATATATGTATTATATATGTATCTATGTCCCTCGTGTTTTATGCATAAAAATTACAATTAATTAATTAATTGGAATTTGAATATTATATGTTTTTTATAAAGCAAAATTGAATACACTTTGGATTATTCTAGATCAGTTCAGTTCAAATCGTTTCTGGTATTGACACATTGAACAATGGACATAGATGATATACTTTATAAGAGAATATCTTTCTGCGTATATTAGTTGTAATTTTGTGAAATATATAAGTAAAATCTCTTTTTTTGCTGTCAGTTAAAAAGAACACGTACCAATGTGTATTTTTATTAACATATCCTTCTCTAGTTTTTATCCTAACACTGTTGTTAATTGTAAGATTAGCGTTAAGTTTTGGTTCAATATAATCTCGCCCATGAAATGTAATACGTCTACAAATAAGTGTCGTATTTAGTTCTAATTTTACAAGTTACTTTAGATTGCGACTGAAAAACATATCTGATGATTTTTGATTTTGCAATAGTTTGTTATTAAGATAAAATAAATCAGTTAAAAATATCTAAGTACTTAAATATAAATATTTATCTAATTAAAAGATATAATAACTATCTTTTCGGGTATATTTACTTAGAAGACAGTATCTCCCATGACATAATAAAATATCAAATATTCGCTTAAATCTAAAAAGTATTATATAATACTAATACTATTCCTGCTTTTAATAATAGATTTAAAAATTGACAGTTAAAATTTAAGAAAAATTTAAATTAATCAAGTAGTTGTAAATAGTAAATAGGTACACATAATATTTTACTGCTTCTATGTTTAGGAATAAATATTTTCTGTGTTAAAACTCTTTTGTTAAAGATAAAAAGCGTTTTCCTCGTTTTGACATGATATAAAGTGCCCATTGTTATTATTTACCTCAACAAATATTCCATGGATGAAGAAAGATTTTTGAAATAAATCTAAAAGCAAGGTTTTCACCTTTAAGGGTGGTTTTTTCTTATTTTATATCGATGGAATAACTTATTCATTTAAAAAATAGTTACGAAAACTTGCTAGGTTCTCTCAGACATACAGGTTTCCTCACGATGTTTTCCTTTACTGTAAAGCAAGTAGTAATCATGTCGGAAATAATTCGCACGTGAAAATAACACGAGGTGTGAGACCTGGAATTTAAACCCGTTTCACTCGGTTTCCCAAGCGAGCACGTTACCATTGGGCTACCACTGCGAATACATATATACGTACATAAATATATCATTATTTGTATAACATTTTCATTCCAGTATGCACAAAGAAAACACAGTAAGCAAAGAAAGCAGCACACACAGTACAGTCACGCACACAAACAAAAGCGAGTCAGAGAAGATAATACACAACGAAACAGTCAACGATGGGACGCTCGAACGTGAGGGACAAGTGAGTTTTTAATTTAATTCTTCATATGGATTTTATATTTGAATGTTAATAGATATTATGTGGTGGTCAGAACCATAAAAAGCATGTTAATTAACAGCGCCTTAGAATTATTAGAAGCGCCTTATTGAAAGAATATCAATATTGACACAATATTTTCAACGCCCTTTATACATAGACTAAAGAATTATAGTATAGTAATTATAATATAGTAGAATTATAGTAACTTCTTTTTTCTTCCGTATATTTCTTCTTTAGTCTGAGTATGAAGTCCGCTAAAATAAATGTCAAAGTCAAAAATATTAGCGGCTTTTGCTGTTTATGATACTATTCTCGATTCTACCATACAAATCGTTTACTGTCTTTAATGAATAAGAAATTTTATAAATGTATTTTTTCTATTTTTGGGAATATGCATAATACAAATAATATTATATTATTGATACTTATTTATTTTTTTAGGGTAAAAAACCTCCAGTGCCATTGAAGAAAAGTCCGTCGTCGTCTACTTCGGGCGTAGGCGGACTATTGAGTGGACTTAAAAATAAAGTGCTACCTTCTTCGGACAAAGTGTAAGTGGATATTTATTAGCTGTTTAACACATGCACTACTTTTATTAAATATTATAGAAGAGACGTTAAAACAAAAATGTCATTTTGACCGGGTTCGTACTTAGGACAATGATCTACAGCTATACATTTTAGGCACCAGGTCAGCGAGACAGTTAATAGAAGTAGAGGTAAGTGTGTATGAAAAGTGTCCGTCAAAACGAGTCCAATAAAGATGGCGCTGCGATACATTTTAAAAGTAGCGCTAAACGTAATTAGAGTAAGATATAGATATAAATGGGGATGGTTATATTTACAAAATTATTTTGGACTACGTAAATAGGTCGAGGTTTTGTATACTGGTGTTTCATTACCTACTTTAGTCAAGAAAAATTTTAAATTTTTCAACTCAGCAAGCTTCACTTCGTCTACAACATCTAAATTCGTATCGTAGTTTTTCGTACGCCAGCGCCATCTATTTTTAGCATACAGAGATTGGAACATACCCTTGCCTCTACCCTCCATATAACGTAGTATGAATATTGATAAAAAGTAGCTTATATGTTAATCCCGTAAATACGCTATCTCCATATCACGCCTACGTAGTAGAGACAAAGTTCCATACAACTGCGCAAAGACATTACACATTACACTGCGCGGCGTGGGTGTGGCGCTTCACCGAAGAGTCCATATACGCGCTACGAGTCCGTTGACCGACCGGTCTTTTCGGCTCGAGCTGTTGAGACTGATAGAGAGAGCCCGTAGTTAAGAAAAACACAGCCAGAGATCCCAAAAAAGCTAAAATTTACTTAATTTTATTTAGTTTAAACTATACTTAAAATTACATCATAATTAATATGTCTTAAGCTAGAATTGAATATAAGAATAATTTTAATATTAACAGTTAACAGTTAGAATTTAATATAAGAATAATTTTAATATTAACGTGAGATTCTATTGAGCAAACAAAAGTGTACACCTATAGCTATGCGCCATAACACCGTCATAATCAAAAGAAAACGACACGAAACAGATACCGCCGCCCTTTCTAGTAGTGTACCTGTTGTTGCACTGTTGTTGAAGCTTTATCCTTTGAGATACTTACTCATGTAATTACAGCATAAAGACAACAAACACAGACTCATATTCACAGAAAGTTTCGCATTAATAATATTAGTGTGTACAGAGAAAAGTCCCCAACGTTGTCCAGCAGTGGGGAGTGGGACCGGACAGATGGCGCTACCAGCAGCAAGCCTACCGCCACACCCACCCCCGTCCCCACTCCCACTACCAACACATTCGACCACATCGAGAGGAACTCCATACTTAATGATCCTAGAGCCGGCAGGTACGTACGGCTTCGTTTTTTTTGTGTTGAAATATTTAATTAATTTTTTCTAATTTTTTGTCTTATTAATAGGAAAATTGATTTATACAGCTTGATGATTTAAGAATGTATTAAGTTTATTTTCGTTTTTTTTATTGATTATAATTAAAGTGTCTTTTTTGTGTTTATATATTATGTATAATAAATAAAATAATGATCTTTTCATATTAATCTGAGTTTAAACATTTTATCTAAAATCAACTATCAACATAACGTTTTGACGGAATACATAAATGCCACATAAATAAACACATATCAAAATTAAATACATAAATAACGAATAATGAATATAATGAACTATATCAGCTTATTTACTTGTAATGTTCCAGAGTGAAGGCGCCGCGTCGAAGGCCGCCGAGCCAGGCGCTCCGCGACGACACCCCCGCGCAGATAGGACTCACTAACGGACATGAAGGTATTTATATATGTACTAGCGGCTCACCCTCGTTCGCTTGGGCTCGCTTCTAAAAAAACAAAAACAAATCTATCCCACGTGAACCGTACTTTTTTCCGAGATAAAAAGTAGCCTATGTGTTATTCCAGACTATAATCTATCCCTGTGCCAAATTTTATCCAGATCCGTTTAGCTGTTCTGGCGTGAAAGAGTAACAAACATTCAAACATACTCACAAACTTTCACATTTATAATATTAAGACAGATATTTTCATTTGGGGTTTTCATATAAGGTATTTTTGTTGAAAACGAACTTTGTTTTCCAAATTTCTATTACAGTTCCCACAGAAAAGCCTGGAGATAAAATGGAAGAAATCAAACCCAGAACAAGAGAGTGGGAGAAACACAAAGCGCCGTGGATGGAAGAGCTTAAACTGAACCAAGCGAAGAAAACTAGCTTCGGTTCCGAGGGAAAGTCCCGGTCCGTGTCGTCCTCGTCTGAAGGCGTTGCGAGCAAAGCTGGCTGTGGTAGTACGGATAGGTTGGTTTTTTTTTTAATTTAGAAATTTTTTTAACGTTCCACTGGACTGGGATGTTAAAAAAAAGGCTGAATATATTTATATTCGATATACAAATAACTCGAGTAAGTTTGCATAATAGGGAATATGCATGATTTTGTTTATTTTTTATACAATAACTTACATTTTACATTAAAGACACTTTTACACTGTACACAGTGTAAAAGTGTCTTTACCTGTGCTATGGTGCCGTTGAGTACAATCAAATCACTCCAACTACCTATTGCATTTCATTTGCGCTTATTGTAACGTACGGGTAGATCCTGAGATTTGACGTAAATGTACGATAAAGTTGGTATAGTTACCGAAGTTATTATAATTTAAATGTCGTGTCATAAACGTTCATCAAGATTTTTCTTGGATATTAAAAACTTAGAGTTTTTGAGAAACGTCACTTAGAATTTTTTGAAGATATTGATCTCGAAACTCCGAACCATGTGGCAGCAACATGATGGTGCCCCTGCCCATTACAGAACACAAGTACATGAATATTTGAACAAGACATTTCCGGGACGTTGGATTGGACGCGGTAGTACAATCATTGCAAGGTCAGCAAGATTCCCCGACTTATCTCCGAATTTTTATATCAAATTGATTGTTTTAATAAGAAAGTAATATAATACTTCACAAAACAATTATTTACTATTTTCTAGGTAATTGGACACTAGTTGCATTTTAAGCAAAATTGAAAACACATTTCGTGTTAGTTTGCTTACTGCGTCATAGATGGCGCTGTCACTTTAGTGTCAAATTCTGAATCGCGCTGGCAAGATGTTCTGACAAATAATGACCTCTCTCGTATTATGTTAGTTTATTATCGCTTCTCGGCCTTTTGGCTAAGATCAAAGTGTAGTATCTGTTCTTTTCAGCTTAATATCTGAAAGTTCCCGCACTGCGGGACCAGTATATTAAACTGATTTTTGTAAACCGACGGGATGTTCGGGGCTCGCTCCACTCCCGTCACGGGTCGGCCCGGCATTGCAGTGCCGCCGGGATCGGCCCACATAATCTATTGAAAAATCTTCTTGAGTCGAAGTTACTTAGTTTTGCATCTTTGTTTTTTATTTATTTATCAGCGTTGTAAAACTTTTTGAACCAGTAATCTGTGTTTTATTACTTGTTTGGTTTTCAACAGGTTAATCTTTTTTTTTTATAGTACGTGACAGTGAGTGTGTCGATAGTGATTAGTGAAGTCTATTAGAAATCATGGTTGACGTTAAGAGAAGTGTTTGAAAGTTTAATATGCACTTTGCCAGCTTGGGTAAAGAGTATTACATATTAGTTATTTTACATTCAAACATTTAGTTAATAAAATTTCATACATGTGTCCATAATGAAAAATGATCATTTTAATGATCTGAATAACAGGCCAAAGTTAATGCATATCCTCAGGAACACGGTGTATAATTAAAAAGAACATCTTAATTTTTTTTTCAAATAAAATAACATAATATGCTACATATAGGTATATTTGGAGAAATTCTTAAACGAATAGTTCAATAGTGAACTTTTGAAATATATGAAGGAAAAAACGCGTCTTCAAATTCTCGTTCTTATATTAAATGTCACTAGCACATAAACCATTATAATCGCGTCGGTTTAAATATTATATGGAATACTAGTACTCATATTCGCTTCGGGTTCGTCCCTAAACAAAAACAAATCTGTTCCACGGGAACTACATTTTTCCGGGATAAAAAGTAACCTTTGTGTTATTCCAGACTATAATCTATCTCTGTGCCAAATTTCATACAGATCCGTTCAGCCGTTCTGGTGTGTCAGAGTAACAAACATCCATACATCCAACCCATGATGATCAAATGATTTCTGAATGAAATGGACGTTATCGATCCGATAGCGTGTTAGTAATCAATAAATGTCTTTATAAAGCTGATGTAATGTAGACACAAGGCCATGAATTAATGATCCAATCATGATGTAATCAATGTTACTCACTATACCAGTTTTAGTTGTAGTATTTACATTAATATTACAATATTTCATTTGTAAATAAAACAATATAGTGTTACGGTTTTGTGCTTAAATAGATTTATTTTCTTTCAGAATATTGGAATGCGGCTTGGAGGAGAAACGATCGTCTCATTCTATGGAAATGTCGAAAAGTACGTCGTCGATAAGTAACAGGATATCTGTGTTAGAAAACCTTGAATCTAGTTTAGAGGTAAGAATAAGTTTTTTTTATAAATAATTAATAAATAATATATAAAGAAGTATTATTGTATTCCATATAGAGGTCTTTATTTTAATATATAACATTTAGTTTACTTCACTTCCCTTAGAACTCAATTAGGGTTTAATCTTTCAATTGCATTCAGTACTGTACTAAAATAATGTTGCCATTATTTGACGTTTAAAATATTTATTGATTTATTAGCATTGCCCGCGGCTCCGCCCGCGTTCAGATGACGAAAAACCAAATCCTTAGGTTTTACATATTAGTATACTCTTACATTGCAGATTTTGTATTTTTTCTCAGAATTAAGATATTTTCCCGCGGTAAAAAGTATCCTATATGTTGACCCGGACCACCAGCTATCACCATACCAAATTTCATCAAAATCCCTCCAGTGGTTTTTCTGTGATGCGGTAACAGACAGACAGACAAAAATTCTAAAAACTATAGATTCGGACTCTGTATCGATAATAATGTCTATTTCAATTAGATTTTCCAAAAAATATTTAATGTACAGATTCGACTTAGTTACAATTTTATTATATGTATAGATGATAGTAAAAGATACTTTTGATCAATTGTATGTAGTATTGGACTAGTCAAATAGAATGAAATAAATCGAATCTGCCTTCTTGCTTAATTACACATACTTTTTACAAAGTTTTAAATTTAAATCGAGATGACAAAGAAATTTAGGTTAAATTGATTTCTGAGATATACACACATAGTTATAGATAGGTTTTAAAAATAGACATATCACTTGGTTTATTTTATTAACTATATTTATCTATAAAATAGACAAACTCTCAAACACTTTTATACTAGCGATTTATGTTAGTCGTCTGATTTGTAATAATTTTTATGTAATACTATAGCTATATCGTTTCCAGACGAAAACCCGGCATTCAATAGATAGTAAGAAGGACACGCCGCCCGAGCTGCCCGCCAGCAAGCCACCCCCGCTGCAGTCGCCCACCGCCGCCGGTACCGTGTTTGCTATTTACCAATACTCTATTTGCTTAGCCTTTTGCCATATCATTTACCTGTTATATTGTGACATTTTATTTGACTTTTAAAAATGAAAAAAATTAGGACTGATCTGAATAAAATATATTTTGTTTTGACAACTGATTTAGATCGTTGATACATCTAACATAGAAGACAATGCCGTAGTATAAAATACCTACAATGTAGTAGACGAACGCCTTTGCTTTTAATAGAAATACTGTCGAATGCAAGGGTTGTCAAAAAATGCTAATTTGTGAATAGTTTCGAAGTTTCCTACGTGACATTGACCAAGTAATGTGTGATCAACTGGCACGCTTTGAAGCCATTTACAAAAGAATTGAATTTATTTTCGACAGTTAAAGCGTTTTAAGCTCGAAGCAAATTACAGTTACAACCGTCAAACCTAAAGTTTCCCGATTGTCATAAAGTATGATAGTCGGATGCGCCGCACCGCAACGCGCACTTCGCGCGCTATTGCCGCATATAGCTGCCTGTTTTATACGACTGTATGGATTAGTAGACTGTGACAATTCTATGCTAACACTTTCTTATATTTACGCGCATATTTGACGTTTTAAATAAAACTATCTTTTCGGATTATTTTGCGGATTTATTTTGATTTTTGGTTTCCAACGTTTCCAATGCTGTGCTATTCTGCTGTAATTCCAGACACCTTATTGCATGCAAAGAAAATGGACCGCTTTAATATGATCTATTTTGTTTAATTAATTGTTAGATAATGTAAATGAACAACGGAAGAGAACATGAATGAAATATAATTATTTTATTTCAAAAAAATAAACCTTCTTAGAACTAAATGGCGAGCGAGAAACTATAAAGATGTATGAGTAAGGTAACTCAGGTACATGATTGAGTGTATGTTCAATATACTAATATATTTTAAAGTTGGAGTTATGAAAAAAAATCACATCCATTCAATTTACTGTATGATAGGGCATACCAACAAACACATTATTTCTTAACAATACTGTACTTTAACTCAAATTTATTGTGGAAGAGTGAGTTCAGTCAGAGGTTATTTTTAACTTACCAGTAGATTCTTAACCTTGTAACTATAAGCAATTTTGTTAAAATAAATAATTTTCATTTAATTTTCAACTCAATTTATGTTTATCCAGGTCGAACATTAACATCGATGTTGGATGATATAAAGAAGCCGTCTCCGCCGGCCGCCAGCGCCCGAAGCAACGAAACCACCGACAAATCACCAAACAAACCCGACAGAAAAGAAGATATCAACTCGATTAGCATGTTCAGTATCGAGAAATCGAGTTGTATAATCGAGAAGAGTGAGAAATATGAAGATAAAGTGGGCTCAGGCACTTTGGAAAGGCGGATCCAATCGATTAAGTCGGATAAAGTGGAAGGCTCTGATGTGTTCATAGCACAGCTCAATGACAGAGTAAGTTTGTGATTTGTTCGTTTTATTAGACACGTCTTGACGACACGTTTGGCTCAGTTTGTAGTGACCCTACTTGCTGTGCCAGCGGTCGCGGATTCGAGTCCCGCTGACGGCATTCATTTGTGTGATGAGGACGAATGTTTGTACTGTAGTAATGGGTGTTTATATTTATAATTTGTGTGTATTTAAAGTTATATATGTGTAGTGTATCAACTATCTGGTATCGATAAGTCAAGCCTCGTAGCTTACCATGGAACTATATGGTGCTATGTATTAATGTCTCAATATATTTATTAGAGACAATGTATAGAGAGTTATGGATTCTATTCCGTTAGATTATGTTAAGCCAAATAGTCTCGTGTTAGTTATTACATCCGAAAATGTATTTATGAAGGAGAATATATAAAAGGATTTAACACTAAACTTATATTTAAATTTATATAAATATTATATATTTGGTAAAAAAATATATTAATTAATGCAATTCTTTGTTTTTATTCTTTGAGACATACCAAATGAACGTAATTTATTTAAAAAAAAACATTAATTTTATAATCAACTTACAGATATTAAACTTAGAGAAGATAATAGAAGTACAAAATGCAAAATTCAACGCGGCCATCGAAGATCTAACGAATAAACTTAAACAAGAGACGGAAAAGCGCATCGCCTTACAGTCGCAGGTAGAGAAGCTCGCGCACTGCGTCACTCAAGTGTAATACAGGCCATAACATTACTTTAAGGTACTAACATTTTAAATAAAATAAAACTAACTATCTTTTCGGATTTTCTCCTGGATTTATTTTGATTTTTGGAGAGATTCTCTCCCGTGACCATGATTGCTGTAAAGCATTCGAAACGTCGGGAATTAACCGTAAATCAAAATAAATCGCCAAAGAATCTGAAAAGATTGTTTTATTTAAAATGTCAAATATTCGCGTAAATTTAAGAAAGTATTAGGTACTAACTTGTTAATATTTTATATAATCTGTACGAGAATATGAATTTTGAATGGTTAGAATGAACCATCGGTTATGTCAAATTTTACGTTTGAAGCATTATTTTTTAATGTTTTTTTTATGAATGTCTTCTCTCTATATTTCGTATATGAGTTTTTATGATGCGGAAGCGAATATTGTTTTGTTTTTTTTTAATATGTAAAAGTACTTGTCTAATTTTTTTGTTCGATTCGTCATTATTCGAGTAGCTCCTCTGTTGAATAATATATTGGAAGTTTAATTTTGCATTTAGTCTCTAGTCTCCACGTCGTGTGTAGAATCAAAAAAGTCAGTAAAAGGCCTAAAACTTATCACTTTTATTATAATACTAACGTTCTTTAAAATGCCTGTAAAACGTTCAAATGCGACACGAATCGTTATAACGCTTGTGATACAATTAATTCCTAACAAATCAGTACTTAAATTCCATAGATGTATAAAGTTTGTAGGAAGGCATTAAACAAATAAGATTTGTAGAATTCGATTTTGAAAATTATTTTAAATGAGACATTTTGTAATGTTATTGTTTTATTTTCTAACTGCTATATTAGTCTCAATTTCAGTCTTATAAGTCAACAGGGAATATGCGTTTTTTTTTATTTTTGTTTATACAATAGTTTATCGTTATATAATTATAAAAAAACTATCTAGCTCCAAAAAACTAAGTTTAGTATAAAAAATTGTTTTCAAAATATCATACAGATACGGATAATTTAAGTGCCCGCCATTTCGGCGCGCTCGGCGTGACGTCATAGTGTATGACAATATTGCAATCGATGACTGAACAGGTCTAGAAGTCTTGAACAACAGCGCTCTGTTGTCATAGATTTTAACGTCACATTCGGCATGACCAATGTCTTTGCGTTTCAACTACTTTGAAGTTACCACCTATTTTTGCACTTTCCAATAAATATTTTTTTTAATCAATAAGAAATTACATTAAAAAAATATTGATTAGGCTTAATTCAGAAGCAATAAATATTATAAAAAAAAGTGTGTGTGTGTACGCACGTAAGAAGTTATACTTCTTTGGCGTAACAGAACAAAAATAGCTAAAGATTGCATCCCGTATGTCACAACTCTCTTTTTGTAAAAGGAATGCAGCTAACTTCATCATGTCGCGTTTTGGCTGTCGGTGTGTGCGCGCAACGTAAAAATTTTACTTTCATATTTTTTTCCAAACGTGCCAAAAGAAGTATAACTTCATATATATATATTTCACTTTTATTTAAATCACACGCATATTCCCTATGGTGTTGAAAATATCTATGGTACTAAAGTGGGTACACTAGACTATAATAACAAATAGAATGGATATATGATTGAGAATGTTTTTTTTTATTATTTTGATTTGTACTGCAAAATATATGTGAGAAATAATGAATGATGTGATATCAACATTCCATGAATAAATATGTATTTCGTACTCTAAGTACAAGTTGGTATCACATACATAGTTTGATTGTATATAAGATATAAAAGAGGTGCCATCTCTGTTTGAACTTATGCAATTGTACACTGAGCATTAAAATAATTAATTTATCTAGACATAAATATAGTAATAGTGACATAGTGATAAATAGTGATTTGAACATTCCATATTTGCGAAATGTTGAAAGTATAATTTATACTATATATATATAACACTCGGCTTCCTATCGTCTCTACGATGCATGCGATTTAACTAGACACTTTGCCTTGATGTCGTAGTTATGTACAGTTGTGCATAAAAGTATATATATATATATATATATAATTGCTGGTTTTTAGGTATGAACTAAAACAGTTTAGAGTAACGGTGTCATGTCTCAACACCTATTTTTTATCAGCTCCAAAAAATGAGGCGGTATGTAATTCTTGTGTATGTTTTTTGAGTAATATTACGCGGCATCGTCTATTTTGATAATAAGGTCTCTAGTGAGATCTCATATGAAGTTAATTAATTGTCAATGTAGTTTTCTAGTTCAAAGTAATATAGTAGGAAGAGAAATAATACTTACTATTTTTCTATAATCATAATTGCATTGTAAATGGCGTTTCATATAATTTATAGGTACTTTTTTAAGTACCTATAAATGAATAATATTAAAAAAATAATAATATTAAAAAGTTAGGTCTTAACAAATGAATATTATGAGCAAAATGTATTACTGGTACGGAGCTTTTTCTACTCCAGTGAGGTGTCTAGTTGATTTGCATGAACTATATACTGTACGCACAATCGTATATGGGTTTCATCGAACCAAAATTTACCAACCCACATAAAGTCGATAATAATTAATTAAATTGAATTAGAATGTTTTAGAATTAACTATTGCATTGTGACATACATACGACTTTGAAAATAAATATTTTTGATTTATTTAAATGTGGGTTTGTACCATAATATCTATATGTTTTAAATAAAATTATTAGATTGAAAGATGAATAGTAACTTAGATAAATAAATTGATAATAATTAGACAGAAATAGCGAAATGGTTAATAAATTGGCTTAGATTCGTGATAGAGAAATTAATTTGAAAAATTAAAAGATAATTGTGGAATCTTTGATAATAGTTTCGACAGATAATTTGAAAATGCTAAGACATTTTATTTGCATTGCTTGTAATGACTTCATTGAAATGCTTTATAAATTATATTCTTATAAATAGACTTATACATGGAGTATTTTTTTAGGATTCGGCTAATTACTTTTTAACGAATATTGCACGTATATTTGAAATTTTTGAAACGATGTTCCTTATCGCACGCTACTCGGCACATTTAATGAATGAAACCAGAGCTAGAAGGAAAAAGTGTAATATTTCGACCTTCACGACACTTTATTATTTACTAAGAGCCCCATGTGACGTCATCATAATTATCAGGCGATAATAAGTGTTAAGGAGTGTATGTTGTAAGAAATTCGTGTGCACTCTGTGCAAGCCTTTCTTCGATGAGCTTCAAAATGTACAATGTACGTGGCTTGGTGTTTATACAATACAAATTTCAAGACCTCATTTGTGTGCCAAGTGTAGACAGCGAAAGGAAGTTTGTTCCTACCGGGTGTACCACGACACCGATAGACGTTTTTTATATTATCAATTGATTTATTATTACAATAATCCATCTTATTGGGATTGGTGTAGTATATATTGAAGTTGAAAATATAATGTACAATTTTAAAATTTCCGTATTGAATTCGTTAAATTTTTAGTTTTTTTATTTACGTAATTATGTTTCATTATTTGTTGACTATTACTGTTGTGTAGTGGATAGGGAAGCTGGTAGGTAGCTAAAATTATACGTATGTAGATGATGTCACAAGAGTAAATTATAATATAAACTTAATATTCATTATGAATTTTTAAATATATCAACACTATTAGTAATTCACTTCAAAAGAAGTAGAAATATCCATTCAAATAGATTCTTTACTTATAATGAAACGGTACACCTTTATGAAACGTACATATTATTTCACATTTTTCCTATAAAACAGAGAGAATTTTAGTTATACAATTTATTTTGTATATTATGGAGAGTAAATATTTACATTATAAATAGTCTTTATTTTGTTATTTTCACTATTGTTCTAACAGTACCTACCTGCATACAGTATAGCGAAATGTTGCTAGTTTTATGCATTTTTATAAATATATTGATTTTAACATCGATCAAATAGTACTAGATACACAATCAGCGATAAAAATGTCCTCACCGAATGAACGCTCATTTGAACATTTGAGCGCGCTTTAATTTTTTTTCCGAAAATAACTTTAAGCATTGCATTTAAGTTTCAATTTACATTGTTGTATATTTATTTCACTAGAATAGTTACCTAAACATAATGGCTGACAGTTTTAGGAGAACTTTTGCATTTGATTGTGTATCCAGTACTTTTTGATCGATGGATTTTAATCATCTTTTCTCAATACGTACATGTATATGAGCCATAGTGACATTAGAGCCGTGCCTATAATAATTAATTATTATTATGGTAATATTTTATACTATTGTAGTACACTGAATGTACACACAATATAACTTACAGTAATTTTTAATGCATATCTCAATTCGTTTCCATATACATTATTGAGGATCTTGAGGATGTAGCGAACAAAAGGGCGTAAGTCCAAAATATGAAATACAGGAGATGAAAAAATATGATATATATAATATAAGGACTTGTTGTTTTTTAGCTTTTGGATAACATATTCACGTTTTTTTGTTCGCAACCTCCTTGTTTATATTTACTGCAATTTTAATCATAAATTATAGTGCGGTTTTGAATGTGGTTGTGTTTTAACCATCCATTTACACGTTTTCGCTTTTAATATGTTATTATTGTTTAATATAATAAAATGTTATTCGAAACATTTATTATATTGTAATTCGCGCCATTGATAATTGTATGATGTTATGTGGTTTTGTATCAACATCAAGTATTTTTTTTTTCATTTCAATACATATTGTATAGTGATTGATAACAGCTTGTATGATTAGTCAGAGGTGTGTTGTGATAATGCCTACTGCTAAATAAAATTGTTTGTAAATAGTTCCAATGGCTTTAATAGTGCACAAATATGAACGTTCATAGAATTTTTATTATGCAAAATTTTATCGCTTTATTTATATATAGTAAATATTCACATATATAATGTAGGTTATATTAGATATTAAATATTGTCTGTATGACGGTAATCGCAATTAGAACGTGCATTAATCATTCATTTAGTTATTGATATATTTTTATGTATGAAAGCTATGTACTTGTTTAAGAATATTTGCTCAGATATCAGAATCCACTTTCATATTGTTATACTCACGATCTTTGTACGCTCCATACCTATTACCTATTTCTTTAAAAGGGGTTCGAACATTTTTATACGGAGACTGGCATTGGCATGTTGTTTTTTTTTCAAAATAGCAACGCACGATTAAATTACTATAAATGGATTGAGGACTAGGTGTCCAACAAATAAATAATATCAACAATATGGTGTTCTAAGTTGTTACGTATACAGAGTTATTTTGAGTAAATAATGAGGTCATTTTTAACGATTGTCATTGTTTTTATACGGCTACCTTAATATTTCAATTCAATTTTCTTCTTATTGGCATCAAAGCGTGCCAGTTGAGCACAGATTACAGCCAATATCACGTACTTTAGATATCTCAGAAACATGACACTTTAGGGAGTTATTGCTAATATTTATATCAATTTAAGTCTCTTTTAACCACATGCTCATTTTATCCTGGTCGCAAATTGTAAGAAAAAATAAAAATGGTGGAATATTGGTAATGCCATAAATGTTCTATTAAAAATATTTTATATTCGTAATAGGTTAAATTAGAGCAATTATATTAGTTGTGTTGAAACGATCGTTTCTTTAACATCAGAAACAGGAAATGTTTCGAGACAACGGCTTTCAAGAACAAGTACATGAGCTAGTAATTCGTAAGCCGCATTAACAGAAAGTTAAGTTTCAAAGGTAAGAGATGTACTAGATATGTACCTGAAAATTTTATACTGTGAAGGCTTTTATACAAATCGACGCCATTCTGATATCATGGTTATATCTCATTTGATTTTAGTGGTAACATCGTGCCAAGATTTTCTTTAGTTCAAAAATCCAAACGCATTTGTTATTTTAATTGTAAGTACCAACATTTGATAAATAATTATTATTGAATGATAATCACAACACACTAGGTATATATAATTAATTTTTATTGTTATCAATATTGTAGGTAAGAGAAATATATTATAATGTCTTTACTTCAAAGACTACCGCGTCAGTACTGAGCTCCATGTACATACATATAAATATCAATAGGGCTTTTTAATGTACATATTGGTACTTAATTTATTTTTCCATATACTGCTCTATGTCATGCATTCCTAAAGTTTTTACGGATACTGATATAAATATATAATAAATAAATATTATTTGTTTTATTTCTACTTATATATACAAAATAAATACAACACGATGTGTTTGGTTAATAATTACTGTGTTGAATAAATATTTGTATTAACATTGTGATAATAATAGTAAATAATAAGTCATTTTTAGTTTCAATTTAACTTCAAAGTTCACATAAATAGTAACATAAAAGGCAGACGGTAAAATTTGAGTTTAGTTGAACATTTAAATAAAATTAATACATATATTGGTGCAAGTGGCCCGTAAAGACATTTTACTGAATGGATTAAAAATATATATTTAAAAAGTTAACAATAATGATTCACTCGGTTTGCCAAGCGAGCGCGCTACCACTGCCTTTGCCTGCCCTGACTTAAACTTCGTGAATTAGTTAATCTGTTAATAGTTATTACGATACCCTTAATATTAAACTTTTACTTATAATTGGAAGAATATACTCGTAGCATCATTTAACATTTGGGAAGGACAATAAAAATTCAACATAAAACAAACAACAAAATCCCAATATATTGTTTTGATTATTTTTCACAGTAATATCTATAATATACATCTTATAAAAATACGGTTACACATCATTTGTATGTTATATCGTATAAAAATATAAAATTATAATAACCAGTTTAAAAAATTACATTATTTTGAAAAATCGTAGCAAATTATTCACTCAATATATTTATTTTTGACATACTTCTAAAAAAGCGGAAGTACTCAACTCGGGTGTATATATTTTACCACATATATTACACCAGAGTTTTAAACCAATGTTTACGATTCATTATTTTTAATAAATACTTGTAAAAAAGGGTTGTCTAATGTAAATAAAAATAAGACAAAATCTAAGGGTAAAATGATTATTTTTAAATTGATTTTCAAAATGGTGTTTCTTTTTAGTAAAAGGTTAACAGATTACATAAGACTTAGTTTGTATGTTTGAATGTGCTAATATCAAGAATTACCACTCATGTAGCTGTTCATTTATTAGCACAAACTTTTAACACTATGAGACGAATTAAAACCGGTTTTATGCTGTACGTAATAATAAGTAATGTAATAGTAAAATTAATTCTATAAAAATTTATTTGAGCAGTTTATTTTTCAACCAGTAGACATTTCTTTAATGAAATATACTAAATATTAACACGTTGACTGGTGTTAATGTAACCGTTAGACAAGCCAGTATTCGGCATGCGCTTTCAGAGTGCCGGATTAATTAAAAGGCGGATAAGACACTTGTTCACTATAAGGCCTATACACTACCCGACTCAAGGGTCCTGCTAAAAATAATACTTAGTTGCACGAAAAAAAATATTAGAAAAACACTAAGCATAATGCTATAAATAAAATTAAAATTCGGATGCCTTAAAAAAGGTCACAAGTCACAACAATAAAAATGAGAAAGGTCAACATTTGAATTGACGATGTTCGAGAAATCTAAATATGTTTGATTTGAGAGTCTTGAAATTTTGACCTCGGTTATTACAACATAGGCGAGTGTGAGATATATTAAAGGCATTGTAGATTAAATTATATTTTTTTTTTCTATAATTAAAATTTATAACACATTACGTGCCACAGAGATGCTGCATTATAAACCACAGTTAGTATGAACACGACAACTTTTGACATGTCGTGAACATGTCGTTTGATGCGCAGTGAACGCCTTAGTATCAACACGATCGCAAGCAATCCGATTTGTATTTTTTTATTTATAAATGCAGAATGCTTCATCGGCGCGTTAAAAAACGTGGTGTTCATGGTCTTTATAGACCCTTATCTCATACTGACGTTGCGCTACCAAAAATAAAAGTTCGTTCGATCGCATCCTGGTATACCTACATTTAATTTATATAATCTAGGACCATTAAAAATAATATGTCTTGATTGTTACAGTCAACTTGTTAATATTCCAAATTTATTCTACAGGAATATATTATCTACTATGTACACCGATCAAAAAGTACTAGATACACAATCCCATGCAAAAGTTCTCTTAAATTGGTGACAGCAGCAATTGTGTTCTGGTAATTATTCTAGTTGAAATAAACATAAAACAATGTAAATTGAACTTTAAGTGCAACGCTTAAAGTTGTTTTCACAAAAAAATGTTTAAATTAAAAGCGCGCTCAAATGTTTAAATGAGCGCTCATTCGGTGAGGACATTTTTTGTCGCTGATTGTGTATCTAGTATTTTTTTTAGATTACGAAACAACAATAAACATATTAAAAAACATTAGTTCATTTAAAAAATATCATTGACTATATCAGTTTTCTTTACTTACCATAATATGGCACAATAACAAATGTAATTTATTATTCATAAGGTTCACAAATCATAAGTCACTATTGAGTATAAACCGATTACCTTCAGAGTGCTTTCCCGTGTATTTATATACACATTTTCCATATGCGCCTGAAATATCAAATTCATTAGAGGCTTTTAACTCGGTATACCTTCTTATTTTTGTAACAATAAAAGTGTTTATACTTTTTATTATATTATTATTGTATTCAGCCCTTTTTAATGTCCCACTGCTGGGCACGGGCCTCCCTTCAATACGTGGGGGGATCAGGCCATAGTCCACCACGCTGGCCAAGTGCGGGTTGGCGGACTTCACATGTCTTTCGAAAACTTGCTAGGTTCTCTCAGACATGCAGGTTTCCTCACGATGTTTTCCTTCACCGTTATGCAATGGGAGACATACAAACATGGAGCTATTATAAACACGTACATACATATCTTATAATAGCTGATTTTGATTCGTCCGAAAAAAAAGGTTTTCAAGACACACAAATTGGCGCTTTAGATCCGCCATTTTCATTTTCAATAATATCTATATACCCTATGGCACTTACTTTATCAAGACGAATCTAACGACGTATGAATCATCAAAATCAGTTAAGCCGTTTAGTAATTACGAGGGAACATACAACATACATACACATAGGCCAAACACATAACCCTCCTTTGATCTTCGCCGCAGTCGGGTAAAAAGATAGATCTGGTACAGTGCATTTTTACAATTACTTCTACAGATCCAGAGTTTATTCAGTATCCGCTAATCACTGTATACATATAAAGAATCAAACTACTAGATCAAATCTGAATTCCAAAATTCTGAAACATGTCTAATGTCTTTTAGTAGAATATACTAGTTGGGTTAGTATACCTTTGTGTTTGCCCAGTGAGTTTAGATCCACAGGCAAAGGCCGGGCAGTAGCGACGGGCGGTGCTTCGGGCGCACTAACGCTGGTCGGCCTCCGCACGCGCATAAACTCGCCTCGTATGGACGCTTCCCTGTGCTCCGCTACAGAAACACGTCGGGAATCCAAGAATCGTAAGTTTTGGAGTTTATACAGTACAAAATATCTGAAAACAATTAATTTAAAAACATTGTCGAGAAATTGGTAGAAGAACATAGATAGACACATTTATGAATTATTTAAAGTGATATACCTATAATTTGTATTTAAATGAATTATTATTCAAAATCCATAAATAAAAAGTTAGAATGACAACATAAGCAAAGTCTTTTTAGGTTAAGAATGAGCCAAATATATTGGAATCACTTTACGTTTCCCACAGTATCTTTAACGATTAGTGAATTTTTTATATTCAAAAAGGTAAGTTACTAGCGCACTTTGAAAATCTATGATTATTTGATGTCCTCATAAGATTAATACCTTATGACGTTACAAAAAACATTGATCTTGAGAGCTCTTTGATAGACGGGTAATAAAACATATATTTTATTTACTTCGCAAAACAGATTTTTTTAATGGTATTCAGTGACAAACGAGCAGACAGCCCACCTGATGGAAAGCGGCACTTGCCGCCCATAACACCTATGGTTCATGCACTTAGGCACTTACTATGTTACAAAAATACAGAACCGCAGGTGTGTTGTCACTGTGAGGACTAAGAAGATATGCCTCTTGCCTGTAATTGCGCTGGCTACCTTATCCTTCAAACCGAACACAACAATTCAATCATTGTTGCTTGGCGGGAGAAATAGATAAGCGGGTGGTACCCATCCAGTCGGACTCCTCAGGCTTGACTAATGGCACTCTACACTAGCGCCTCTCGCGGCGAATTAAAGCGCAGTAGCCCTCATTAGTTTAGAAAAAAACAAGTTACTGCTATCTTAACCATAAGCTAGCAGTAAAATTACTGGATCGATAAGAATTGAGTCGAATTAGAGATGTACGTCAGAACTTGTTGCTAATTTGTTGCTTTCCGTTTTCTGCTAACCTTTCACTGCCAGCTCGATAAAGCTTTTTATCTAAGCGTATCGATATCAAATATAACATTCTAGTTTTTATTTTATTTAAGGACCAAAAAATATATTAATTCACTTCTTATTTAATCTTAACTTACCTATATCTTTGGTAGTCCGTGTCGTCTTTATCTTGGTCTGAGAGTTGGTTTGGACATGCTTTATTACTGAGCAGACTTAGGTACGTAAGTGATGGAAAATTTTCGCTTATTTTGTCTATTAGTGAATCTAAATCAGTTATCTAGAATAGTATACAGTAATTATGTAACGAAACATAAATAATATGGAAAGTAAAGTTAGTTTTACAAATACACAAAACACACCTGATTATTATTTATCGATAAAGTTTTTAATTTAGGCAAATGTGGAAATTTAACGGAATCCCCCAATTTATTGTTGTCGAGAATTAATTCTTCCAGCCTCGTGAAATTTTCCAAGCCCTTCAGGGTCTCTATGTTGTTATAACTGAAACAACACAAATTATGTTTACACCAATATCTAATAGCGTTTACAGAACGTACATATCTACATAAATGTAAAAAATATCCCCAAGTTTTCCTACTCAAACCAGGAAATTACTTTCTTACATTTTGAAAATAACTTTAAATTCATTAAATTTAATTTACGAATGTTATTATAATACTAGCATTGCCCACAGCTCCGCCCGCGTTCAGGTGACAAAAAAAACAAATTCTTAGGTTTTACATAAGTATTAGTATACTCTTACATTGCAGTATTTGTATTTTTTCTCAGAAATGAGATATTTTGGCGCGGTAAAAAGTGTTCTATATGTTGATCCGGATAACCAGCTTTCACCATACCTAATTTCATCAAAATCCCTCCAGTGGTTTTTATGTGATGCGGTAACAGAGAGACAGACAAAAATGCTAAAAACTATAGATTCGGCCTCTGTCTCAAAAATAATGTTTATTTCAATAAGATTTTCCAAAAAATATTTAATGTACAGGTTTGGCTTGGTCACAATTTTATTATATGTATAGATTATTAAAGTATTCTATTTGATTAAACTTGCTGAAATTGTTTGTCCTTAGTTCAGTTAACTCAGTTAACAACAAAAGTCGAAATATGGATTCTTAAGAATAATTAATGAGCTTGCTTTCACTAGCAACAACAACTCAAATGATTTGAATTAAAGGTGAATCAAGTTGAATTTATTTATAAATGTATTTAAATTTTATGATGCTATATTTGTATTAGAATTAGTAGGATAAAGGTACAAGTGTTAAGAATTGAATGTTTAAGAAGCACGCTTAATGTTTACTTGTTATTGTTAAACAGATTTTTTTTATTATATAAAAGTACTATAGTATCTCAAATAAAACTTAAGGGTTGTACTTAAACCTGACAGTTAATTTTATGATCTCCGTCCGTAAAGACTTATACTTCTTACGTATCCTTCTTAAATGTCATTTATAAATCCAACGAATAGTGGTTCTAGTCGGGTCTGATCGTATAGTTAGATTTTTGTCACTTAATTTTCATATACGATACGGTTCTGTTTTATTTCTTTTATTTTTACATTATGTGGTATTTAGGAAATATTATTTTTTTCTTGCCTGCCTCATTGGTCTAATGGACAGCATGTACGGCAACAGATCAAGAGGTCTTAGGTTTGAGTTCTAAATAGGGCTAAGGCGTATCCATTGGGTCTTTCTGTTAAGAAAATCTTAGTAGTTGCCTGGAATTAGATAGTACACTCCTGTGCCTCGGAGATCATATAAAGCCGTCGGTCGTGATCTCTCAACGGTCATACTAAGGTGCTCATACTTCGACACAGTATTGTCCATCGGACTTCGAGTGTGAAAGGAGAAGAGATAGCATTTGTGTTTGCCCACATAGTACAAGATGCAAGATATTTAATATATCTCCTGTCATGGCTAGTCTCGGTGATATTGACCGCAGCGGCCGTAATCAGTCAGGGATTATTTATTAGAACACTATTTACACTAGTCACATCTTCTAAGTTGCCGAGAAATTGGTGAACAAACATAAAAAAAGCGTCGAATATAATACGTTTTCTTTTTTTGATGTCAGTTAAATGTTCTGAACTAAAACGTGCTGTAATATTTACTACAAATCAAAAAATCAAATAACTGTTTCTACACCAGTTTTCATAGTAATCATTGACGTGTTACTTATCGTGTACTTTTACTTTAGATAACAATATAATACTTAAGTAGGTACTATACAATCATACAAAATGTCATTTGTTGAAACAAAAGTTACAAGTTTATATAATTCTATAGAAATAATTATCTTATAATTAAAGGTTTTATGTAAAATGGACCAGTCATAAAAATAAATAAAATGACAATGGTCAACAAATTAAGTCGCACTTGCATATTGAACACAAATCACAATTTTGACTATAACGTGTTCTTATTATCTTTAAATTGACCTACTTAACTGAGTATTTAATCAAATCTTGGAAGATTTGCAACTAATTTTAACAGTCGCATCGATTTGAAACTTTATATAAGTAAATAAAATTCGGATGACAATCAGAAAATCGGGGGCGGATCTATATTTAAGACTTAGAATCTTTGTTGAAAATAATGGATAATATTATGAATTTATAAAATTAAAATTTATATATCGATACTAATATATATAAAGAGGTAAAGTTTGTGAATTCTGAGGTTGTAACGTTGTAGGGGGTAATCTCTGGATCTACTAAACCGATTTAGATGAAATTTGGCAAGAAGGTAGTTTGGGACCCTGGGAAGGACATAGATACTTTTCATCCCGGAAATCATCCCTTAAGGGGCTGAAAATAGGAATGAGTTTGTATGGGGAATCAAGCTAAAAAGCTATAAAATAAAAAATAAGACCTTATGGCCTAATAACCCTGAGATTAATTAAGCAGAACCAAAACACTAGCATTATCATAATTTCGTCTACTAGCAGCTATCATTGTAGATTTTTTAAGACAAAATGATAATTTATTCTAATTATTTAAACTAATTGGTAGATCCCCACGTAGTGCTAGCCCAGGGCCCCTCAAATTCACGGTCCACCCGGCACCCCTAATAACAATACAATAATTGATTCCAACCATGATATCATAAACCAATAGTAAGTAAAACAGACAAACAAACAGTTACTTGGTCAACTTTTTTAGATTTTTGAAAGTATGTTTATTTATAAATAAAATTCTAGCAATAGTAATATGTGTTATTCACGGGAAGATTTCTTTTTTAGTACTTTAAGTAAGTATAGGTCTGTTTTGTTTTTGATATGAGATTAGTATAAATAAAATTTTGCTTACCTTAAATCTAGGTAATTTACTTTAGCTCCGTACATATTCCACAACGCTGGCGGTATTCTTTGGCAATCTTGACCGCAATAACTTAGCTGAAATTACGTTTATAATATAGCATAATATAATCATAATATTGTAATATTATAACGATTCATAGACTTTCTTTCCTCAAATATAAATAGCTTTATATTTCTACTAGCATTGCCCGCGGCTCCGCTCGCGTTCAGATGACCAAAAACCAAATTCTTAGGTTTTACATATTAGTATACTCTTAAATTGCAGTTTTTGTATTTTTTCTCAGAAATGAGACATTTTCCCGCGGTAAAAAGATTCTATATGTTGACCCGGATAACCAGCTATCACCATACCAAATTTCATCAAAATATATCCAGTGGTTTTTCTGTGATGCGTACAGTGCGTATGTAACAGACAGACAGACAAAAAATCTATAGTTTCGGCCTCTGTATCGATAATAATGCCTATTTCAATAAGATTTTCCAAAAAATATTTAATGTACAGATTCGGCTTAGTTACAATTTTATTATATGTATTTTCATACCTTTTCTGTGCATGAATTCTATTTACTCACAGAAAAATAAAAGTAGTTTAATAACGCTTGTTTCAACTAAATTATCATCACAAGTATGTACATATAAATCAGTTTACAAATCCTTTTTTATCGTTGCGTATTATCCCTACAGGTACACTTAACCGTCCACCCTTTTAAAGGGACCCATTTGTCACTTTTTGCGAGATAAATTAAGTGGTTACGATTGTAAGGTACCAAGAAAACCATGCTAAGAAGAACTCTCTTACAATTTAAAAATGATAAGAATTAGCCTAAAATGTTCATGTATTACGTGGTCACTCTTTGTGCTATTATGCATTAATGCTATTGATAAATGCTATTGATTTGTTCTCAAATTAAAAAAAATTAAGGTTTTTGCAAAACAAGCCTTGCTATGAACTATCACAAATTGACACAAGCTGTTTGCTTTGATTGACGAAGGGCTTAGTCTACGTCGTTTGACACGAAACTAAGGAGTACCTCGTACGATTGTGAAAGATGCTAGTTAGATACTTCCGGGAGACAGTATCATACGTGCGGAGACCCGGACAAGGTGTACTTGGGCTCGCGACGACGGTTTTATTGTCACAAATGTTACATTACGAAAACTCAAGAACGTCAGAGAAGTAAGAAAGCTCTGTGATGGAACGTACGGTTAGAAGAATGTGGCATAACAGCTTTTAGGGTGTCATAGCTACTCGCAGACCATCGAAGAGAAAGACTTTGTTTACCTCGTAAATACAGTGCAAAGCTATGGAATTTTTTTATTGATTTGATTTTCTCAGACAAAACCTTGGCGTTGTAAGTGGTCTTGACTTGACGGTCGTCTCACTCGTGTACGAACAGAAGCAAAAATTAAAAGTTCGCTCTATGGATGCATATTATGATGCATAGCGGCTCAGGCATTGATTTTGGGTGATATAACTTACGAGATTCCTATGGACATGTTTATTTTTAAAAGAGATGGAGTAAATGGTATATGGCGAATACCATCACCATGTGGTGATATTTATACCGTTTATTGGTGATGAATTCTTACTAAGGCAAATAATTATTGGCACAGATATATAGCAAGAATCGTGACCGATGCACAAGGTCGGGATAAAAGATTATCATAACCACCACGGAGTTCCGATTTGAATTCGATAAAATTTAATAAGACATATTTGAAGACAAGTCTAAGCTTCGACCACCATTCAAGAGCTGAAAGACGCCATTATTGATGAGTGGCAAAACATACCACAGGAAATATTTCAGATTTAAGATTTACAAAAAAAAAGTATGTGAAAAGTACATTTTTTCCAAATATTAGACAAAATTAAAATTGTGCGGTTAATTGTGCCGCTGAGAATATTAAAGGGGTCGCCACTGAAATGTTGACTTTTCATTTGGGAACCAGTAGATTGCGCAAAACGTTAATGAGCGACGAAACGTTATGAAAATTACAGATATTAAGTTAATACCTAGCGAATGAATAAAGGCTCTCAATTGGTAAATTATGAATGACAATAATGTCATACAATAGTCCCTCCAATATTATGCTTTACACCTCCAGGTAAATTTCTAAGAAATTAATTAAATTTCTAAGAAATCTATTGTTAACTGTAACGCAGGCGTGTCCGCGTTCGTAGAGGAATTATTAATAATAATTATTTTTTAATAAATATAAAAAACAAAAACAAATCTATTCCCCGGGAACCGTATATTTTTCCGGGGTAAAAAGCATTGTTATTCCGGAGTATATTCCAGCCTATGTGTTATTCCAGACTATGATCTATCTCTGTGCCAAATTTCATTCAGATCCGTTAAGCCGTTCTGGCGTGAAAGAGTAACAAACATTCATACGAGTACATACTCACAAACTTTATTGATACAGATAATCATATTTCCAATGGCTCGTAAAAAGCACATACCATATGCATAGTTAACCGATACATTTAGTAAATAATTCTTTTTTTTTCTAGATATCAAAATCCGACGACATGTTTGGCTCAGTTTGTAGTTACCCTACTCGCTGTGCCAGCGGTTGCGGGTTCGAGTCCCGCTAGGGGCATTCATTTGTGTGATGAGAACGAATGTTTGTACTCCAGTCATGGGTGTTTATATTTATAATATGTATGTATTTAAAGTTATATATGTGTAGTGTATCAACTATCTGGTATCCATAACACAAGCCTCGTAGCTTACCATGGAACTAGATGGCGCTGTGTCTTAACATATTTATTTATATATTTATACATAATAATGAATACGAATATATGGCAAGTTTAATGTTGGGTAGACAGACACGATTGAAGTCATAAAAGTTTAGTTTTTTGAGGTAGTTACGGTAAAAAACAAAAAAAAACTTTATTTTCTCGTTATTACATAGGTCCTAGAGTATTGTAGGGATATTGTAATATAGTTAGGAAACAAAGTAGTTTTAAGTTTTTACGTATAATTAATTTAATAAACTTTTATTGTTTTGTGTTGTTAGGTATATGTTGTTTACGTTATTATTATGCATTTGCATTTGAATGAAATATTATTAATAGGATAACAAATAACAAATCATATATTAACGCATATAATTAATTACATGATAGTAGAATAATATCTTAAGGTTAACTGGGAGCATTTATACAAGATTGAAGAGTCGAATTCACGCTACAACATATCGTTAGTCGTCCCTGAGCTCATTTTAGTGAGGGTATTTAGCCCTTATATTTATAATTAAATAGGGTATTATGGGGTAATAGTGTAATTATTGAAAACTAGAAAATCTTTACTGAATATGGGTAAATTTAATCAAGTTTCTCGAAAAGCTTCGTCGTTTTTTGAACCTCATAACTTGGATTTAGATTATACCAGATGAACAAAATTCTCGGGATCTGATGTGGTAATAGTGGACTTATTAAATATATTAAGTTTCATTTGCATAGCTCTTATACCTTAGATGTTATTGATATCTAAAAATCTCCCATTTCGTCACTGACTCACAGATGATAATCAAAATTCTAAGGGTACTTTCTGAAGTCCTAGAAAGCTGAAATTTGGTATGTAAGCTAGTATTAGTACATTAACAACAACAAAATCTAAAACTTGGAGCGTTTACCCCCAACCCCTTAAATTAGGTGATGGAAGTTTGTACTACAAGAACTATTATATACAATTATATGAGAAGAGTAATTAACAGTGAATAAAATTTTCACCCATCCATGTGACGGCAGCGAAACGGCCAAGCTACATATTTTGACTAAGGTGTAGTTAGGGTTTGTGAAGTTAGGGCTTGTAGAGTTAGAAGCTTGACTCTACATGAGATCTGATAACTTTTTGACAGTGCGAGCTATACGGTCTCGTCTTGGCACCATTTTACATGAAAATGTTTTTGGCGGGATTATGTTATCGGAGCAGGTTATTTCATCGACATTGTAAGGTCATTTAAGTCTAGCCGGGTTCTATCAATCTCAATTAATTAAATAGTTTGCTCATGATTTCAGGCGTGAATAATGGTATGAAATATATTTTCATGAAACAAAATTGATAATATCTTATTTACAATAATGTAATTTAAGTAAACATGAAATTGGACGTTTTCGCAGTAAATGTATGCCATTTGTTGTGCGCATAAAATTTGACTATCCTTTTGAAGTTTTTATTTCATATCATTTTGTGCTGGCGTTATCTTTACTGTGGGTCGCGTTACCGACTTTATTGCTCGTACACATACCTACCTACTGTTATAAACGTATTGCTCTGACTATAATAAACAATTTTGTTGGCCAATTATAGAGCTTTTTCTATCTCTTTAAATGTACATATCCCAAAGTCCAAACTTAAAACTCTAAAAGTATGCAAGGCTAAATTAGTAAATACATAGGTACATGTAAATTCTACCACGGAGTTTCATCACGAATAAAGAAAAATTAGTTCAAATAAATGCCAAAACTCAAAAGATGACGTTACACGTATCGATTTGTTACTAAAGTTGTGTTAAATTAATAAAAGATAAAAAAATAGATCTGATTAAAGAACTCTCAAAGGTGACTTACTATTAAATGTTTAAAACTCGTTAAATATTATAAAGTTAAACTTTTTTAAAGCTTACACATAATAATTAAGTTTTATATTGTGGTTTTTTGTCTAATAGATGACCTTGATGTTATATTTTTTATTTTACTATAGTATATAAATTAATTAAGTAAAGTAAACTTTAAAAAATCATTTCAAAATAAAATAATAGATACATGTAATAATCATATGTACAATTAGTCATAAAAAAGGTGATTTTTTCTGATTCATTATGAGGTCACAAGTTGAAAATGGTGAAAAATAGAGACAAAGCTCCTAAAAATATGCACGATAGCTCATTGGATCGGGAGCGACGTCTAAAAAAATGTATTTAAACAATTTTTAGCATTTAAAAAATTGCATAAGTAATAAATAGTATAGGATCCCAGTATAAAACGATCTTCACCGAGCTGGTTAATGGATGAAAAGTATTTTATATCAAATTAAATATGTCAATAAATATATTGCGAATGGTTTGACTAAAAAATTTCAGTCCAGAATATGATTAATTAACAATTTAAAAAAAAAAATTAAACATATTTCATTTTTAAATTTAAAAAAGAATTAAATTGTTAATGTAATTGTAGTAAAAGATCATAGTTGCATCCATAATCTTGTACAACATGAGAACAAAAAAAAATAAATAAACATGTATTTTTAAACACTAACGTAATAACATAATATATATATATATATATATATATATATATATATATATATATATATATATATATATAAACATTTAGGTAATCTACAAAGTTCTTTAAAATGACTGCCGTTCTCGCGAATACATAAGTTCATTCGTTTTTGTTCTGAGAAAGTAGCAGCCGATAATTTCCTTGTGTGGATATCGTGTTTAAAAATACCTACATACTTAGTTCATTTAATTTTACTTTATTCTTATTATCATATTTTTTGAATAAAAAAATTCCCAAGCGGCACGTAATAGCACATACTGGGCACATTTCAGCACATTTTCTCTTTCTCAGAAATTCGAAAATTGCGGAGTCATCATTATGGATATGAAAAATTTTCCATTTCTATTTATATAATTGTTAATTTTTTTCTTTTTCAACACTTACATACGATAGCACACCTCGACCACACCACGGCACAATTCTAATGATACCGATACAGTAAAGTGTCAGAGCTAACCGGACTTAAAAAAAAAGGATGTCCTCATAAAAATTATATTTTTTGCGTAAATTTTTTTAAGTGGCACGTAATAGCACACACTGGGGACATTTCAGCATATTTTCTATTTCTTAGTAATTCGAAAATTGCGGGGTCATCATTATGAACATATAAAATACTTTTCATCCATTAACCAGCTCGGTGAAGGTTATATTATAGATCGTTTTATACTTAGACTGTAAACAAATAAAGATGAAAAAAAAGAAGCTATTAAGTTTTCGCTAATAACGAATTAATAAAAACTATTAATAATTAGTACGTTTTAAAAAAGATCCTTATGAGGAGGAAATTTCAATAGAAATGTTCCGATTCCCGAAACAAACTTCGTCTATTATTTATAATTTTAATTTAACACTGAAAAAAGGGCTGCAAGAGGCCGATGAGGGTGCCCGCTCCGCCTCTAAAATATACATCAGTACATTTTAGGGGCGGAGCGGGCACCCTCATCATAGTACATCATGAAAAATATTTTTTTACAGTTATATATTTAATATTTTACAAATAATAAGATAAATTAAAATAACATGTTTGTCTTTGACTATTTGAAAAATTACAAATATTTACTTGTTTGTTATTTAACTATATTTATGTTCATAGAACTTCAGATGACTGTGCCAAATTAGTTCAGTTTTCATTCATAATTGGTCATTTGGCTGTGACATATATTTTATGCAGATATATATTTCAAACTCAACTTTCTTAAAGCTGCCATAATGTAGAAAATACAGGTAACATTTTGTAATGTTTAGTGTGCAGATTTTCATACATATTTAATATTAATATTATAATTATAACTACTTATTTTCTTAGCCTAATTCATATGATATTAATTAATATAATTTTACATATTTTGATTTGTCTACCAAGTTAGCGGTTTTGTTTCTAAAGTAATTTTTTGAAATATTTATAAGAAAATTAATAAAAGAGAGATTTCCTTTTGTACAAAGGAAGTCAAACGAGTTTTAATAATATCATCGATATTTAGTAAGGATTTTCTCCTTTGATTCTGACAATATTATGCCTAAAAGTATGTAATAGGTATATAAATGTTAATTGTATATGAAGAGTTGAGTTACTTACGCGATTTTTATCGTAAGATAATGCGAATGCGTTTATGTGAGTCGATTCCATTGCTCTTGATTTTTTCTTTGTTATAAATATTTTATGCACTTAACTAAAGACTTGTTTTTTCAATGATAACAAGAATTATGAGATATTTCTCTCATTAGGTACTTTTTACGAGTATTGAATTGATTAGCATTTAGCACCAAAACAAGTAATTATGACAGACGTCAGTTTTAAGTTGATGTTTGACAGTTGACTTCATTTATAAACTTTTAATTTTTATTTGTCATCCATGCTTTTAATTTAATAGCTATGCCAGACGTTCCGTTTTATCAATGGATTGGTATTTTAGTGTTCTAAAAAAATATAATTTATAATATGATTATTTTAAATACGTAAGTGACATCACTTTTATTTCAATAATAAGATTCATAAATGCTAGCAGTACTTTGACATTGTTTTGTAGCATTATGTTAATAAATATTTTTGGATAACATTGAAGTAATTTAATACTATTGAATCATTGTTTAATTGAAATAAATCTTTCCTTAGTTGTGACTGTAGGGTAAGTCAATACATTCGAATAAAATAAGAAAATAAAAATTAAGTTAAACGGTTTTATTTAAATAATAATGATGTAGATAATGTATTAAAACTCTAAAAGTCAAAAAAGTCATCATAACACTCTTCTCATTAATCTAAAGACTAAAGCATTGATCAGACTCATAAATAACTATAATAATAACGCTCGAGACATACTTCAACTACAGGCAGAAATAGGCAATATAAATATCATTGAATTCTCTAGCTGCAAAATGTGAAAGCTGCCGGAAACAAATACCAGGAGCACATTCTTGCTGCTAATAATTTAGTAGATTTATCTGTACATAGTATAAAATGAAGTCACTTCCGCTGTCTGTTCGCTTAGATCTTTTAAATTATGCAACGGATTTTACTGCAGTTTTCAGCAATAGATAGAGTGATTCAAGGAGACGGTTTATATGTACTTGAAATACACGTATATTATGTAGTACAGAAAAGCCGAGAAATTCAAATTATTTCATACTAACTGTTAAAAGAACCCGAGCGAAGCGAGGGTGAGTCGCTAGTGTACCAAATAACAAATTATGATAGTTTTGAATCTTTCACAAATAAACATATTTGTAATTATAGGTACTCAATTACACCCTCAAGATTCCAAAATTCAAAATGTTTCTGTAGATTTCGAAAATTTTAATGTCTCTGTGGGTAGGAAAATTGAGTTTAGGGGGTGATTGGCCCCTTGGATCGGTCTGTCTTATTGTAAAAAGTTTTAAAATAGTTGTCTGGCGAACATATATAAAAATCGAGCATCAGAATTTACGTGAAATTAAGTAATTATTTCGGGACCTTTAAAGCGTCTGCAAAGCAATACGGCCGACGGAAAGTGTCTGGGAGTATTGACGACATATTTTTAAAGATATTGTCTAAATTATACGTGAACATCAGCTTGAAGAATGTACGTGAGGTAAGTAATCTTTTGAGGTACCTTGATTACCTGGAAATTGGCCGTCTAAGTTAGCAGGTAGGCATGCGATCTTAGTACATACTAACACTACCCAATCGTCCACATTTCGTTCGTCAGAAAATACGTAACGTCTGGCGGCTCTGGGATCTTGGACTTTATCGTTTATAGTACAACCTTTGCGCATGTACATAATATAATAGAATTCCACAGTCGATATTGAGTTTGCCATTTAAAAAATTGACGATTCAAAGCTTGTAAAAGTCTATTTGAACAAATTATATTTTCATTGATTAATTGATTGATCGATTGTACGCCCCATGATTTTATTTTTGAATCTGATCAATGCTCTAGATTGATAAGAAGAGTGACGTGATACCTAATTATTATTTTTTGCTTTTAGTGCATCATCTACTTCATTATTATCTTTCTTTTCAATAAAACCGTTTAACTTAAAAAATATTCACTTATTTTCAAGTTTTTTATTTTTATTTTAAACTATCTAAGCTCTTTGATCCACCCGTCACCATGCACTTGATACCCATATTGAGGGGGTTATAAAAAAAATTTAATCTGCTATATTGTGGCGGCGGCCATCATAAATAGGTATACAATGCTTCTAAATATATTCAATTGTAATATTTGTCATCGAAACTAAAGGTGTGTACCAAATGTTAGATCAATCTGTCAACAGAAAAGGGGTAAAATTTTAATTACTAAATTTGAGACAAACAAAGAAGATAAATAAACCCGTCTAAAAATGAGTGTAACTCTACCTTACTTCTTAACTTATTACTTTATTAGTGATAACTTATTACACGGGTCAATATTTAGGATCACTTTAATACAGGAAAATCTTTCAACCATTCGGAAAAATATCGTAACTGTCGAGTTGTCCTTAGTTTATATGTCTAACGCTGGTTAAAGAGATACATCAAAACTATGTATTAGATTATTATGTGTATTAGATATTTGTAGGTCTTAAAAAGGCCTACAGAAAAATCTGCAATAGTCTAAGTCTATCTCCTAAGGTACACTCGCAATAACAATTTACATTTAAAACATATACCCAGGATGGCAGGGACGCACCCGAGCAAAGCGAGGGTATGCCGCTAATTACTAATAATTTTATAAAAACTATTATATTTTGATTTATTTTATATTTTATTTTAATTGCGGTATCTGCCACAGTGCCAAAGAAGTTTTACTTCAACCACGCGTAATATGTTATAGGTACGCGTTCATATTTTTCTTTTTTTATTCGCTCATTTTTATTTTTATCAAGGAAACCTTACAAATATTGTTAATAAGTAAATGTTTTTCTTGATTTGTAAGCTTTTCTTTTATCCAGGAACAGGTCAATGTATTTACATGATGTTCAGCTGCAAGAAAGTACTCGGCTGCGACAGTCTAAGGAGAGTCTTGTATGTTTGGCTTATATGTTTTTATGTATGGCAATACAGCCAGGCGCAAAGCCGAAAGACACATACAGAAGAATTATATTATTATACTAGCGACTCACCCTCGCTTCGCTCGGGTTCGTCCCTAACTTGCTTCCCAATACAAATTTTCATCCTCATTTTCACCCCTTTAAGGGACGATTTCCAGGATAAAAAGTATTCTATGTCTTTCCCAGGGTCTCAAACTATTTTCCTAAAAAATTTCATCAAAATCGGTTTAGTAGATCCAAAGATTACCCCCTACAACATCACAAACTGACTAACTCACAAACTTTACCTCTTTATAATATTAGTATAGATTAAGATTATTATTTGTACAAAGGTGCTTCAGAAAGCGTCATAGAGTAAAAAAATATATATTGTAAATGAAAACGATATACAGAACTATATTTCTTAATTATATTCAATATTACCCAAAAGGATACATAAATATATCCATCTAATTAAAATAATTGTACTTGTAAGTAGCTAGCTGTCAGAGAGATTTATATGATAAGTTAACATATCTTATCTAAATCTTACGCAATATAAATTAGTCTGCCGCTAGCTCAGTACCGCAGCACCAGCAGTGCTGAATTATTATTCTATTATTTTTTTAAAATCTAAAAATGACGCCAAACGTTAAATACACAAAAGTAAGTTAAAATTTTGTTGTTTATTTAATTTATTTACATTATGAATTAAAAGCTTCTAGATTTTTAAAGAAATTTCAAAGCTTAGAATTTAATATTCTTGTATTCACCAACAAGTATAAAATATGAAATACTTGATATTGAAATCAAATAATATAAATCAGTTTTATATGTATACTTATAATATGTGGGTAATGTATTTTATGTTTATTTCTTATCATTGCGTTGTTTTTTGTGTAAATTTTGTGAATTTGTTTTATTGCACACTTTTGTTTAGAAGTCAATGGCAATGTCTAATGGATTTAATGAAATTTATTGGTAAATATAATATAGTATGTATTATATTTTCTTGTTTTTTTTTTCTATAAAATATCGGTAATATCTAATTCTATATATTTTAGATTACGTGATTGACTAGTCCAACGATATACATACAACGTTACAATCTCACAAACTTTACCTCTTTATAATATTAGTATAGACTAGCATTACCCGCGGCTCCGCCCGCGTTCAGATTTTTGTATTTTTTCTTAGAAATGAGTTATTTTCTCTCGGTAAAAAGTATCCTTTATGTTGACCCGGATAACCAGCTATCACCATACAAAATTTCATCCCAATCCCTCCAGTCGTTTTTTTGTGATGCGGTAACAGACAGACAGATAAAAATTATAAAAACTATAGATTCGACCTCTGTATCGATAATTATGTTTATTTCAATAAGATTTTCATTTCAAATTTCCAAAATATTTAATGTACAGATTCGCCTAACTCTCCAACTCTCAAACTATCTATCTCCACACAAAAAAAATCACGTCAATCCGTCATTCTGTTTCGATGTGAAAGAAGGACAAACAAACAAATAAACAAACAAACAAACAAACAAACACATTTTAATGTTTATAATATTATATGGATTTTACGTCATGATTACCTACCATGCGACGCAGCGTGTAGAAGGTTATATGTAGTCTTATTTGTTTGCCTCCACACAATAACATGTATTTTATTTGCTCTGTCATTATGACTCTACAATTTTTGCTTTTATTTATATGTACAAGTTATAGACTTCAAATAAACTGAGTAGCTATCTTTATCTATAAGTTTATAACTAACACATATAGCAAAAATCAATAATCTATACATATACTAAAATTGTAACTAAGCCGATTCTGTACATTAAATATTTTTTGGAAAATCTCATTGAAATAGACATTATTATCGATACAGAGGCCGAATCTATAATATTAATGAGAAATTGATACTAAAAGAAATCTCTGAGAAATCGATACTAAACGTTAAAACGTAAGTAGGGACAAACCCGAGCGAAGCGAGGCTGAGTTGCTAGTATTATCTAAATTTTATAATTTAGAAGTGTTATTGTTTCATTGTGGTAAGAAAAAAAGACAACAATTGATACTTAGTAGTATTGAAAATCTAATTGGTTTTCAAAACTTAATTATGGTAACTTAAAGTAGGTGCGAAGGCAAAAGGTTCCATCAAATTCTTGTTAATATTATAATCTAATATATTTAAACGAGCAATTCTTGTATATATATATATATATATATATATGTATATATATATTTATATATTTACATATATATGTATATAATTATCAATATAAGTATAATCTAAATCTCGGAAACGGCTCCAACGATTTTCATGAAATTTAGTATACAAGGGGTTTCGGGGGCGATAAATCGATCTAGATTGGTTTTATGCCTGGGAAAACGTGTGTTTTCGAATTTTCATGCGGTTTTCTTTTGCTATTCCACGCAAAATATGCTCAGTAATTTGCACGCTCGGAAATAAGCATCGTGGTCAAGCGGCCAAGGTGCAAGAGCAACAATCACAGATTCGAATCTCGGTCGCATACAAAGTTTTTACTTTTTTTTTATATTTATTCAAGTTTTTAGTGTTTTCTTTAAAAAAGACGCAAGAGTCATCATAAGTGTCCGGGTTCGAATCCGGTCGGATACAAAGATATAATTTTTTTTGTTTTTTTTTTGTATTTATTCAAGTTTTTTTGTTTTATTTTTTTTAAAGTAAATTGTACTTTTGACAAAAAACTCGGAGCGGAGCTCGGTAACCCAGGTACCTACTTAATATTAACAAGAAATATTATATTATATATTTTCTTGTTAATATATAATTGTTAATCAAATTATTTTCTTGTACCATACGAAGTACCTACATCATCTCAGACGCAGTCATTAGTTTCTATGACGTGTTTCAAAGTTCTGCAATAATAAAGCTACCTAATTCCAAATAAATTCTACTGTGTCATTATGAAGCTAAAACATTGCCAAAATATAATTACAACTGTTCATATTCGCATTATTTGATACGGATAATATCATTCAAATGTATATTTTATGTAATATATTATGCACGAGCATTGAGATCATCATATTCAATCTTTGAACAGTACCTAATAAGTATTTTTTGTATCCTTGAAATATAGTTACAATAGGTTTTTTTTTTTTTTTTTATACCACGTCGGTGGCAATCAGGCATGCGGCCCGCCTGATGGTAAGCGGTTACCGCAGCCTATGGACGCCTGCAACACCTTGGGCATCACATGCGCGTTGCCGACCCTTTAAAAACCTATTTATAATATAATAATTTATATTTATAACCTTTAATAACCTAGGTAATGACCTTTAATCTTTTTTTTGAGTTTTGATTTACTCATGACTGAAATATATCATCTCTGAGAAATTTATACTAAACGGTAATCCCTCTACGACCGCGGACACGCCGGCGGTGTTACAGTTAACAATAGATTTCTAAGAAATTTAATAAATTTCTTAGAAATTTCAAATTAACCTGTTAAATTATATATTTCTTTATTTATTTATTTATTCCAATGCCTGTACCTATAGCAAAATACTAAATTCAGATGTAATCATATTTTAACAGATTTTTATTAACAATGAATGGGTCGACGCTGTCAGCGGGAAGACTTTTGAAACTTTTAATCCCCATGATGGTTCCGTCATTGCAAAAGTTGCCGAAGGAGATAAGTTAAGTATTCCCTAAGGCTCTAAATGTACCTACTATACTTTAAAGTTTAGAAATTTTCTACGTGATCGAAATATTAAAAAGACAGATTTTGTGTCTAAGTTTTAATATAATTTATTAAAGTATTTGTCAAAATGACTAAACCAAAGAAGTTGTTTATTCCTTAGCCCTAATATTAAATTGAATTATAATTTAACATTGCTTTCAGAGCGCGTTTGTTTGGTTTTAAATATGATTTTGCAAAATGCTTATTTTGCTGCTATATATCTAATTATAAAACTATTGATTAGCTTCTTTAATGATACCAGCCTTTATAATATACTAACTTCACGTAACATAGAATACTAACAACTAGATTTATATTTATTTTTAAATGATTAAGCTTTTAAATATTAAAATTCAACATTTTAATTCGCTGATGCTTATACAGGCTGATGTAGATATTGCAGTTCAAGCAGCAAAGCGTGCTTTTCATCGCAATTCGGAATGGCGTCTATTAAGCGCACAAGAAAGAGGCCAACTGCTTTACAAATTCGGTGATCTTATTCTAAGGGATTTAGATTACTTAGCTGAATTAGAGACTTACAATAATGGTATGGTGCTTAGTAATTGCAAGAGATTCGTTGAAGCAGGTGTAGATCAAATAAGGTATAATGCGGGTCTGGCCGATAAGATCCTTGGCAATACCTTTTCTGCGGGTAAGATTATTGTGTTTTTTTTGACTATTGTGTTTTTCTGCATTTAGTTTTTGCTGTCCATTATAATTTTATAAATGTTAAGGAACTCTGTCTGTCTGTTACTATTTCAAGAGTAAAACGCTGAACAGATTTCTATGAAATTTCACAAGGATATGAATTATATCATAAGTTACCCTTTTCATACTCACTTGGTGTGCCCCGCGGTTTCACCCGCGTTAGCTTTAATTATAAACATGAAATTTATATAAAATAAATTAAAACTATTTCAATATGTTTAATATTAATCATTTTGCTCCAAAGAAATAAGTGCATTTAGATATCTTCGTAATCTTTTATATAAAATGTGTTTTGCTTTTGTTCACATGACATCTAAATTCTTGCTAAGTTTACATTGTGTAATCGTTAATTTAAAAAGTAAACATTTAAACGAAAAAAAAACTACGTGGTCAGACTATGTAGATGTCGCAGGTTAACATATCTAAGCAAGCCGGTTTCACTGTTAAAATATTTTTTAGCTAAAAATTAGAAAGATATTACAAAAAAAAAATTATCTGTAAATTTTCATCGATACTGCTTTACCGCTTAATAAGTAAGTCCGTTACACACGGACACATTTTAAAATACATAATAATAAAATATATAATCAATATATGTATGTACAAGTTTACATATGAATCACATTTAGTGGGAAATTAATAATTATAGTGTACTTTTAACGATGTACATATGTTTATTGTTTACACAGGTAGCGATGCATTTACCTACACCCTTAAACAACCTGTCGGGGTGTGTGCTTTAATATTGCCCTGGAACGTGCCTATACTAATGTTCATCAGCAAAGTAACAGCTGCATTAGCAGCAGGTACAAAACAAGTATATATTTAACATGTATTAAGAAATTAAATTCTATTTTTTTTTTGTTTTGGTGTCGGATAGTGTTATTGTGTTTATACAACAAATGGAGAAGATTCCAATGTTTTTTTTTATTTTCGAATAACTACTTTTTAAATTAAAAATGTCAATCGACTTTAAAATCATCGCGAAAGTGATGGTTCCATCCCTTGAGGACATTTTTCATGAAGTTTATATATGTGATCGTCTATTTATTAAAAAAAGTGTCATGAAAATTGATACAATTATTTGAAGACAAGTTTGGCTCAGTTTGTAGTAACCCTACTTGCTGTGCCAGCTGTCGCGGGTTCGAGTCCCGCTGAAAGCATTCACTAGTGTGATGAGCATAAATGTTTGTACTCCAGTCATGGGTGTTTATATTTATAATATGTATGTATTTAAAGTTATATAAATGTGTAGTATATCAACTATCTGGTATCTATAACACAACCCTCGTAGCTTACTATGGAACTAGATGGTGATGTGTGTTAATGTTCCAACATATTTATTTATAATGATTAGTGAAGACATCGCGTAATGTTTAAAAAAATATCACCTGAATTGAGTATATCTTCCTGTTTTAAAGTCGGTAAAATTCATTGTATAAAAATCTACATTTTATAATAGCATATTTCCTAATAATATTTTTTGAAACTGGCTCACCTTGTGCCAACAAGATGTTCATATGCTATGTTGTTGTAATATAACATGTAGGCCCCTAAATGAGTTCATACTCATACTGTGAAGAAATAATAGATTTTTATTATAAATATCTATTTCTTTTTAACAGTTTTAAAAAAATAAAGAAATTAAAGCTCTTATATTTATTTACTAAAATATTAATCTAGGGTTTAGATTTGAGAAATGAGAATTATTTCGCTAATATTATGAATCAAAATTTTAACTTTTGCTATTACTTAATGATTTTTTTTCACTTATTATAATTAAAAAGTAAAGTAAAAATAAATAGAAATGCACAATAACACTACCTTTTTCTAATGAAAAGTACATTTAATAGTTTATTTTAAATCATAAGTTGCTTTAAGAGAACGTTTTGTTGCCAGGTTGTACGGTGGTAGTGAAACCTGCAGAACAAACACCGTTGACGGCTTTAGCCTTAGCCGCGCTACTGGCTGAAGCGGGAGTACCCAAAGGCGTCGTCAATGTAGTTCCTGGATACGGTGAAACTGCGGGAGTTGCTTTGACTCATCACTCTGATATTGCTAAGATTTCCTTCACAGGTTCTGTAGAGGTATGTATATTGTATAATTATATGTATGACTAGCGTTGCCCGCAGCTCCGCTCGCGTTCAGATGACCAAATATCAAATTCTTAGGCTGTACATATTAGTATACTCTTACAATGAAGTTTTTGTATTTTTCTCAGAAATGAGATATTTTCCCGCGGTAAAAAGTATCCTATATGTTGACCTGGATAACCAGCTATCATCATATTAAATTTCATCAAAATCTGTCCAGTGGTTTTCTCGTGATGCGGTAACAGACAGACAGACAGACGGATGGACGGACGGACGGACTCTGTATCGATAATAATGTCTATTTCAATTAGATTTTCCAAAAAATATTTAATGTACAGATTCGACTTAGTTACAATTTTATTATATGTATAGATTTAGTATAAAGTATAAACTCGAATTTATACTTGTATTTATGTTTGATCAGTTGTTTCCCAAACTTACATCTCTTGCGTCTCGTAAGAAAGTTGTTGATTAACTTATTTCTGTTGTTTTGGATTTGTGTCGGTATCATAACGTGTTAATGTACATATATTTATATTGAATACTAGCGATTGTCCGCTGCTTCGTTTGTAGGTTACGATGAAGTAAATAGCCTTACTCATGTTAACCCTTAGAAAGTCATTTTAAATGAAGATTAGCGGATATAAAAAAAAAATATACATGGCAGAATTTTCAAACTCAAAAACATTGCGTTTGAATTATTAATTATTAGGTATAGTTATAAGTATGTAGCTATGTATGCTTAGGTAAAATAATATAGTACAGGCACGAGCAAAAATATGTATATGACCATATACTGTTCGGCAATAGTATTTGATTGCATGATTCATTCATTATATTTATTCTTACGATGACAACAAAAATATATAACATCAAAGGAACAACAAAACTATCTGACCTACACACGCAATGTAAAATTAACGGATACAACATCGGTTTCAAAAATATCCGTAGTAAATGCATAAATATCGGACATGTCTTGTACTCAGTGATCAAAAATATTAGACTATAACCAGTACTACTGGTTAACTATATATATGGTAATATATGGTAACAAATACATATTTTTGCTGACAGAGTGGGATTTTGGAGATATATGTTAATGAATGAATCATGCACTAAAGATATTATTGTCGCACTGTTCATAAGTAGTCATATATTTTTGCTCGTGAATGTACAGTATCGTCAATCATAATATCTGTCTTTAACTGAGTGCTTCCTAATTTTATACAGTTCCTAATTGCAAACCATCCATCATGTCTACCTTACAAGGTTCTTGCAAGAAAGCGTGATTTCTTGTTGTTCTTAATTTAACATATTCGACTAGCCTTAACATACATTTTTATCATATTCGGCAGAGTAATTTTTGATGCTGCAAATAAGCAAACAGATATAATAATCCAGAAACCTTTGATCTTACTTTACTTGTCGTCTGAAAAAGTAAATCTCGGCATATAGGTAATAAGCTGAAATGTAGGTATAAACTTGTTGTGTAAGTTGTGAAAGTTTGTTTTTGCATTATAAATGATTTCTAAAATTCGCAAACATCACTTTTTCGCAAATGTATGTGTGTTGAATCAAAAAGCCTCTGTGGCTTACTCAAATTTTCAGCTTAATACCTCTCGTTTCAAGGTGACACCTAGATGTGACTGTACTGTACTGTACTGTAGTAACTTTTAAATTTTGATTCAGTCACTAAATAAAATCGTTGTATTAAAGATATAATTTTTAATTTATTTAGTTGAATAAATCAATTCTCGATTATCGTTTAAGTCAGGTACAAAGCAAATTTTATAAGAAAAATTATCTACCTGTTTTTAATTGAATAGTATGAACATAATCAGACCTAAAGAACATGCTCTAATATAATAAGCTTTTCAAATAAATTAAATTATGTGTAAGCCTTAGTCAAACGTTATTTACTATTATAGTATATATAATATATAGTAGTATATATGTACTCTGGGTACATATTAACTATTTACCAAAAATAAATAAAAAGTCTTTATCCAATATTGCTATTTCAGAAATACAGTTAAAGTTTGTCCAAAACTCTACCAGCCTACACAGTAGAATATGTACGCTGGCATCATTAGAGAATGTCGTCTAGATTTATGTATTTCATTTAAACTTTTTTATTAGATTAAGTAGATACTGTCGTAAAAGTTATCTTATGAGTTTTATTTACCGTGTCATGTGTGCTTTACTTATAACGAAATGTATATATTATGTGTAATGGAAACTTCGGGCTGATGTTTAAAAACAAAATAAATAATACTTTCTTAGATTTTTGCGAATATTTCATCCACTCCCGGAGAGAATTTTATTGCTGCAAATCATTTGAAACATCGGGAACCAAAAATCTAAATGAAACCTTCAAAATATGTTATATCTGTTATATTATGTATTCAATATAAGTTTAATATAAAATTTTAGCATTAATATAAAAGTTTCTTAAAATTCAAATCTTTAAGGGTTTCAAGAACATTTATTTTCTTGTAGGTTGGCAAACTTATTCAACAGGCAGCTGGAGCTAAGAACTTGAAACGAGTATCGCTAGAACTCGGTGGAAAGAGCCCTCTCATCATTATGGACGACGCGGATTGTAAGTTGTATTTTATTTTGAAACTCGAACTAAATACTTTTAACACGTTCTTATATTTACATGAATATTCAAGGTCGGGTTACTTAGTTACACCAAGAACGGCTGGACCGATTTTGATGATCTTTGATTTGTTGAATTTGTCTCCGCCTCTAACAGCAGAATAACGATTAAAAGATTAGAAAAAAGAACCACAAAAAAAAAAATTATATGGCTAACGCTGGCCAATAACTATTTATATCTATAATACTTTCTTAGGTTTACGCGAATATTTGACATTGTAAATAAAATTATTTTTTCGGATTATTTCGCGGATTTATTTTGATTTTTGGTTCCCGACGTTTCGAATGCTTTACAGCAATCATGGTCACGGGAGACACTTAAGGTTTTAGACATCTCAAAGGCGTTATATACTTGGTATAGACGGTGCCTACCCACAATTTTACAAAAATTGATTTACAAAAAAGATTTTAATTCTAAGCATTTTAATTTTTTTCAATAATTATTATAATTAAATACAGCACACACTGTACTTACAATACTTTTTTACAGTAATTAAAATCAACAAATATTGTAAGGTTCTTTGGTGCCATTTTTGAATTTATGAAATCATTTTTGTTTACAGATAGTTTTTTTCGGGGATTTATTTAGATTTTTGGATCCCGATGTTTCTAATGTTTAAAGCTATCTGAGACGGGAGTAACGTCAAGAATCAAAAATCACAAAAAATCCACGAAAAAGTCCGAAAAGATAATTTTATTTACATATACTTACACACAACAAACAATATTCAAATAAATACATTTACTTACAGATAAAAGTTATATTTTACTAGGAAACACTTTCTCGCCATAGTTTCATCTTTTTAAAATTATATACAAGTGAAACTATTAATTATTATTAGCTCTTGAAACAACTGTATAATCTAATCTATGAAGTCGATTTAAATCTTCTAATGGTCATATGGATTTGTAATGTTGTTAGTAGGTAGATATAAGAAAATCCAGGTACCAATAGTTTTGATTCTATTGAGCTAATCTGATGATAATGCCACGATATATAGTGGCAGACTTAATGAAGTTCTGCACCCGGAGTTTTCTCATCAGTTTAGGCTCATCTAAACTGTTTAAGATTGTGATGCTATAAATATGTTGTTTTTTTTTTTTAGAATTGTGACGATATTTAGGTATATAACATTTTAAACGAGAAATTTAAAATTACATTAACTGAGCGTAAGGAAAAACAGTTTTAATTTAATTTAAAACTCATCAAATATCTGATCCGATCGCTATGAATTTGGTTCAAAGATTAAGTAAATTTATTTTAGCTAATATTCTCGAATGTAAATTTACTTCATTTTTGGTTAAAATTTATAACGATCACTTCCGCTTTGGGCTTGAAAAGCAATAAAGAGATGTGTGCTGACTTTCGCATTTGTTATATAATTTTCTAAAGACTTTGTTGTCTACGGCTTTGCTGGCTTTATAATAAAATTTTGGTCTCGGCGGAAAAGGTTGAACCTATTGATACAGTAACTACACGAATTATTTATTATTATTAATACAGATACTGTACGACTAATATTATTTTTATCAGTCCAGTTTTTAATAATTAATAATTAATATTACATAAAAATATATTTTTAGGATATACATACAGTAACACATTACAACGAGGATAAGAGAAAAAGTTTGGGTATTTACAAATCTAAGACGCCTCTAATTCTCTCTATCTGTTCTCTTGTTCTTATTCTTTCAAAAAATTGGAGCGTATTTAAAAAAAAATAGGTACTTTTGACACTGCCAATTCTTCTCATACTATCCAATACATATAATATAATAGGTATATTAGTCGTACAGTAACTGGATTAATAGTCGCTTCCGGCGGAAAATGTCACTAAGACTAGGCATCCCTAGAGATATTATGGTGCAGGTGTGTGTTTAACACATTTGCATGGTTCATTCCTTTCTCTATCTTATTTCTATGGAATGACTTCGACTCTCTTCGGACAGAGATTAGGCACAATGGTCTGTCTCAACACGCGGATATAACACCGCCAACTTTCAAATTGGAGACAATTTTGCTACAAAGTATTTCTCGATAGATAGATCAAAACATTGTAATATTAAGTTTTGTTGTATATGCATGATGTGTCTGCATCTAGAAAAATGCAATCTTGTGCATTAATTTTGCAAGCTATTCTTATTTTATATGTATGTGATTGTCATTTGTTTTGTGGACCACTAAACATAAATAAATAAATAAATAAAACCTATCATTGTTTCTTACCCGGGACTGAACCCACTGTCTCAATAATGACAAGTAGATATGCTTAACAAAACGACAATCCTTTCTATTTACTCCATAACTATACTAATTATAGGTCCTGCCAACCCTTGATTTGCATTGAGCGGAGAATTCAAGCTGCATAATATAAATCATTGGATGATGAATGAAATACATATAGATATATTTTTAATATTTATACTGCAAAACATTCCATTTTAGCCGTAAAGTTTATACTACACAAGTGTTCTAAATACTATTGATGGTATCTAGTTATTATCATAGATCAAGATACTAATATCTGTCTATAAAATCAATACAACTTGACCTCGCCACAATATTAAACAGCGTTGATACGATCAGCTAAGATAATTTTGTTTCACGGTAACTTTGAAAAATTATTTAAAGAAAATTCACCATTTTTCAATATAATGTTCAAGTAGAAAAACATAATAGCACAAAAACTTCCAGGCACTAAAATGTAAAAAATAACTAAACGGATATTTGATATACATTAAATAATCAGATATTTTCGAAGTCGGTGCCAGCCGACAATATTTTAATGAAAATTCACACAATACATACATTATATTAATAATGTATTAAACAAAAACATGGCAATTAGGTAAATTGGCGATTTAAATGTTTTTGCATATTTAATTCAATCTGAACGTGTTATTTAATAAATGAAATTGGAACAACATAGACATTGCAGTACAACCTTTTACCCTTATAAAATTTTATCTGTAATCATGAAAAGGTAAAAACGATCGAAGTTATCTCAGCTGATTGCAATGAAATGAATTTTAGTAGCGTATTTCTTTAAAACTTGGAGCAAAAGTTAAAGTAAAACCCAATTTACTTCAAGTATCTTTTGCTTTACGTGAGCGACATCGAGAAAGACAGACACGTTACAAATCCAAACACCAATTTATAAAGCTGAAAACTGAATTCTAGTGGTAATAAATAGTGTCAATCTATCTGTCCATTCGTAACTTCAATATGTATAATGTAACGAGGTCATCACTATAGATAAATGGTTTTTGATAAAAGTTTTGTTTGTGATTTGGAATATTCTGTGTTCTATAGTTTTTTTTTTAGAATTTTGTCTGTCTATTTATTTATTTACGCATCACTCTTAATCGTTGGAAACGGTTTAGAGACTACGAATATACCTATACTCGTACTTATACATATGTATTTTACTTATGAAAAAAACATATATAATGAAATTCAAATTATACTTAATTATACATATTATGTATATACCTACATAACTTAATAATTACTATACGTTATATATGTTAGGTATATATTATTATATAAATTTTTCAAATTGAAACCTAAACTTCAAGAAAGGTTTATTTTTTTATTTTGCTAAAATGCTTTCCGTTTTTAGTGACAATGTTTCAAAGTTGACAACACTTCTGAAATGTCAGAATTCCGTCGAATTAAAAATCAGACTATAAATAGAAATGCACTATAGTTAGAACCGCAGGTTGTGGCCAGTATATATAATTTATATTATATATGTATAATAAAATTGTAACTTCGTTAAAGAAATAAGTTGAAAATATTGAATAATATGTGTTTAAGTGACGAAAAAAGGTTATGAGATGTTTCAGATTCACAAGCAAACTGACACACCATATCCATACATACCGACACACCATCAAACAAAATTTATAAAGAAGTTATTAACCGATTTATTGCGTCTCAAATATACTATATTATTTTCAATTAAGCACTGAAGACCTAGAGATACAAAGTCCTTTTACGATGTACTGACGTGATCACTTTATCAAGTAGAGTACATGTAGAGTAAAATGAATTCACATGTGTGAAAGAACATACATACAAAACCTACTATTTTTAATAGCATATTGGTTTGTTAGAAATGTAACTATTCCGTTTAAACTTTAAAATGATCTCTGTACGTCTATACATACAAACAAATAAACAAAATTGAAGTGTCTGTTTGTAATTTCGAAATAATAGTGTTTTTACTTAATGCATATGAAAGTATAGACGGTACTTATAAGAAAAAAAAAGATTTTCATTTTTTTGTCTGCCTATTTCTTCCGGCTAATCTCTGAAACGTTTTTGGCGGGAATTTCACTAGCATATAGGTGAAGTTATAAGGAGTAAGTTAGGCTACTTTTAGCGAAGTGAGTGTAAGCCGCTAGTTTTTGCAAAATAAATGTAATTGATGTTTTCGGCACAAGTAATTCAATAATAGTAATTGAGTGCAACGTTGTTTGCTCGCAATACTTAAAATTGCATTTTAGTCCATTGCATACTTAGCAATACCAGTATAGAACAAAAACACGAATTCGTTTCAAATATGTGTGCAGAATTTGTTTTAACGTTTTAGATATTGAAGGGTACAGTTACAGGTTAGCATCACCAACATGCTTCTGAATTTTTAAATAATTTCTAAATAGTTTAACTTCATACAATTTTCTACTATAGATAAATTTATATTATGTAATATGTAATCAATGCTGTATATATGTATTATACATATATACAGCATTGATTATATAGTTCCTGTTTCAGTTAATAACTAATTATCACATGATAATTAATTAAAATTAATCAACATTTTTATTGAAAAAGTGATTATACTCTATTAATTATATCAATAGGCGTAGTAGCTTAGTGGTAACGCGCTCGCTTGGGATACCGAGCGAGGCGGGTGCAAATCGCGGATCTCGCACCTCAGATATTTTCTTGTGCGAATCATTTTCCATGATTGCCACTTGACCTATGGCGAAAGAAAATATCGCGAGCAAACCTGAGAAAACCTAGCAAGTTTTCGAAAGATATGTGAAGTCCTACAAATCGCATTTGGGCGTGGTGGACTATGGGACTTTAAAAAGGGCTCATCAATAGTAATACTATGGTTGTTGTAGAATTTTACATGTAATTTTATTATTTTTCACATTACACAGTCGTCCTTAATAACATATTATATACAACATTGTAGGATTATATCATTTTTTATAACGTTGGAAGAAATAATAATCCTAATTATCTATACTAATATTATAAAGAGGTAAAGTTTGTGAGCTTGTGAGTTTGTGAGATTGTGACGTTGTAGGGGGTAATCTACTGAACCGATTTTGATAAAAGGTGAGAAGATAGTTTGGGACCCTAGACCTTTCTAGTCTTTACATAGTATTAATGTACTTACATAGGATACTTTTTATCCCGGAAATCATCCCTTAAAGGGGTGAAAATGGGGATGAGAGTATTGGAAGCAAGCTAGAGACGAAGCCGAGGGAAGCGAGGGTGAGTCGCTAGTTGCAATATAACATGAATATTTTTTCCTTTATCACAAAATAGATATACCATGATTCACCAATGTTATAATACATGAGTACGGCATGACTTATGAGTTCGTTTATTAAATTGATACTTCTAAAGGTCATATTACATTATCTCACCTTTAAGTAGCATTTAGGTAACCTGTTATTAATACAATTTTAGTTCATGTGTAAAGAAAAAGCCGAACGGTGCTATTTTACAGAAGACGCAAGTGGGGTAGTTATGCCCAGAGAAAAGTGAGGGCGGATCGAGTGCTAAAGTTTTGCTTTAGTTCTTATATATTCTTATATAGCATCCGTGCTAGAGATAGTTTAAAGGCACTAGAATGATATACGGAACTTTTGAGCTCAACTTTTAGTTACCAGTGTAAAACTAGCGCTTGTTTCTAAGACAAATAGCTCTTTCATCTGTTAGCAACGGCAAACGGCGGAACCGAAAATGGTCAAAATCAACGTAATAATAATTTATTATTTACGTACATTATGTAATTCAATATTTTTTTATCTAACATCAGATTATTAAAAGAAACATTTATAATCTAATCAATTGTTATTGTCGTATAAACACACATTCATGATGATTTGTAATAACGTTAAAATAGGTAATTTATAAGTGAGCTAGGGCTGTCTCGTTCAGCTATATAAGTATTTAAAACTTTAAACTCTTTTTATTTCTATTTTTTTAAATAAAACGAAACATTAGTTCGTTAATCGATTTTTGGAAAATCAAGCTGTTCTTTTCTGTTTATGATATTTTTAAATGTATTTTTCTATAATTTATAATTTCAAGAGTAACGACTTAGATCATAGAGACAAGATCGTATCGCCCTAAATGTTATTTTTATGTTTATAGTAATCGTAGTTTGAAATTTTTAGTGAACGTTGCTGTCCCCTACGCTGCTTTAGGAGTGTTTAGCCACCAAGGTCAAATTTGTATAGCGGCCTCCCGACTGTACGTCCAATCGGGTATTTATGATGAGTTTGTCAAAAGAGCTGTGCAATTTGCAAAGACCTTGGCTGTTGGAAACCCTACTGATGCAAAAACACAACATGGCCCACAGGTATTAATTTAAATCAAACGCTATTGTTATGTAGGTACTTCCTTCGTTGTACAGTTTTTTTAACAGGAAAAATAGTGTCTAAAGCTAGGTACTACATAGCTCAATTCAAATAAACTTTAATATTTCCTTGATTTTTTTGCTAGCTTAATGTTTTTGTTAAAAGCTGTTCAGACAAATTTATGATATTATTTAATTAAAAACAATGACGTTATTATAAATGTGTTGTAAAAATAATCAAGATAGTCTAAGTCCTAGATAAAATAAAAAACTGCCTCGGTAGTGTAGTGGCTAGCATGTACGGTTGCATATCCGGAGATCCTGGGTTCGAGTCCCGGGTCGGGCTAAGTTTAGTTATTGAGTCTTTCTGTATAAGTAAGCCTCAGTAACAGCCCGGAGTTGGGAAGTTGGCGGTGTTTTACCCCCGTGCCTCGGAGAGCACGTAAAGCCGTCGGTCCTGCACCTTAACTCTCACTGGTCGTGTCTCGTGTCGTCCCACCGGAGTATGAGACTGACAGGAATAGAGAGTGCACGTTGTGTCTGCGCGTACACATGTGCACTATAATATCTCCTGCGCAGTTGGCTAGTCTCAATGAGATTGGCCGCCGTGGCCGAAATCGGTCAGGAGAACATCATCGTTATTACAATAAAAATATGTTAAAATTGAATAAGTTTAATTATTTCTTCTATGGAATATGCCTTTTTAGTAATGAACGTATTATTAAGGCATAATACGTTTCTTTTCACAGATTGACAAAAGTATGATGGATAAAGTTCTTGGTTACATAGAGAAAGGAAAATCGGAAGGTGCAAAATTACTCACTGGAGGTAAAAGAGTTGGGACTAAAGGCTTTTACATCGAACCCACGGTGTTCTCTGACGTGACCGATGACATGACAATAGCTAGGGAAGAGGTGAGAATCCTTTGTTTTATATTTTACTAGTTTATACCCGCGGTTTCAACTGTATCTTAAGTATTTTCTTCCCTTTCTTTCAACAACATTAGTGCCATCTCAGTGCCATTTCTAGATAATTTTATAAGTAAAATTACTATTTCATGTTAGCTTATTTAGTAATGTGTTAGTTAGTATAATAATGATTTGAGTGTTTGAAACGGAGGGTAATGATATCTTGTATATAGTATCATTTACGCAAACGGACGCCGTAGGCTCAATCTGTGCGATCTTTCAAATAATACGTGAATTAGATTCTCCTCATTACAATAACGTATCCTATATGTAAATACATAGCTAACATACATAAATAAAGTCTCCCACACAGAATTTGTGTTAAATCTAGGTTGCAAATGCGAACTAATTGGTAGAAAAATCTAAAACCTAATGTTTAAGTGATCTACGAGATAGTTCCTTCACTATCGGAACTAGTTTAGTGACATTAGTTTAGTCATGCCTAAAAATATATTTTGACACAAAAAATTTACAGCCAAGCACGTCAGCCGCTAGATCGACGAGAAAATTCCTTTAGATATTATCAAAAGTAGTTCCGTGAAATTGATTTAGTCATGCCTGAAACTATATTTTGACACAAAATATTTACAACCGAGCACGAAGACTAAAAGACACTACAACTAAGAGGCAATTCCGTTATAATTTAAATGTATTTATTATATATAACTGTTTAGTAATCGTCCTAAAGCCCCCTCCTTTTTGGAAGTCGGTTAAAAAAGTTGTGTGAGTCGGTCTAAGATACTGTAATATATAATCTCTCATAGATATGGCTATAAGTGGCATAAGGCCGATCATCGAAATCGGCTAATGGGTCATTATCAGGATATCAGATTAGTATTTAAAGTTCTTAGATGTTCTCAGTCCTGGAAATAAAAGTGCATAATAAAAAATAAAAAAAAACAAAAAAAATGCGCATTAAGATCCGCAGCAGATTTTTGCTATTTTATGTTTTGCGAGGCTCTAAATAATAGATATGAAATATTTAATGTTCAATTTTGTTTCAACCATTATAAGGTCAAAATAAATGAAAGATGCCAACATCAATCATATCAGGCAGGCGTCGATAAAATCTACGTAGCGTTTTATATATGAGTAGTTACTAGTTACAATAAAACCTGTGATGCATAGCCCAGTTTAAGATATTAGTGCTTTTTAATAAAAACTTGAGAATAAGGTTGAAAAAAGGAGTATTACATAGTAAACATTCAACTGGAATTAGTCATATTGTCATTGTAAATGTGGAAATTTTAGGACATCCAGATTTTGTTCATCAAGCGTATATCAAAAATTGTTGGCGTATTAGTATACGTTGTCCTTATACGATGCCTTGTATTATTATAATGTTATTAAGAAAAACGATTCTGAACTATACAATAATTTTGAAATATATTCAAAAAAATCATGTCAGCAAAAACGCGAACAACAACTAGTTTATTTTTATTTTTAATTTAATTAAAGCTAAATCAGTTCTTGACATTCAGGGCCGATAGGATAGATGTAATTTTCATTTACATACTGAAAGCTTTATAACTTGAAGGATCTGGAGTATTGCGCTGCAAACCTTTTATTGTCTTCTTACTTATTAGCTTCTTAACTATTTCACGTGCTTGAAGTATCTTTTTCTCTTTCCTAATGTACTTTTAATCTCCGACGCAAAAAGAGGGGTCTTATAAGTTTGACGTCGATGTCTGTCTGTGTGTGTGTGTGTCTGTGGCATCGTAGCTCTCAAACGGATGGACCGATTTCGATGGGTTTTTTTTTAATTCGAAAGCCTTAGTTTGGTTAATATCGGTCCAGCAGTGTATCAGCTCTTTTCCAAAATTACGTAAGGCATTTTTGCGTATGATTACTCGATTAAGTCCTTCACGCGTGCCAGTGTAATGGTTAAAAGACAATTTGCGTAGGGGTTTTTTTAAATTTTTTATTTATCATTATAAGTAATATCATATGTCGTGCGGATCATGCCATACATATTGTCCCATACATTTAAATTCCCATTACGTCTAACTTCTAAGTCCACGTTGCGCTGAAATCATTTTAAATTTTTTTATTCAAACGTAAGATGAAAAGCCCTTTGTCTAGCAAGAAGCTTTTCCTTCCTTTAGATTAAATTGCGATATAAGTGTCATACTGATCTTGAATAGTTTTATAAAGTACATAATATAATACATAAATGTAACAGTTTCCAGATACTAACGGAATTCCGTATAACGGAATAGCATAATTATGCTACCCAACAGAAACACTTAGGGCGTTCCGAGATAAATTGTGACTTTTAAAAGGTTTAGATTCTGAATAAGAAATCTGTCGAATAGTTTTAGCATTGTAATACATTTTTAAGAGCTCCTTCCTATTTCTTACACATAAATTGCCTCGCCCATATTCTACTGAGCTACAAATCTTTGTATTACGAGTTTTATATGAGTGTTTACTGAGAATATTATGTATATAGCATATATATTAATAAAGCAGTGGTAGCCCAACGGTATCGGAAAATCGAGTGAAGTGGGTTCAAATCCCGGGTCTCGTACCTCTGATATTTTCATGTGCCAATCATTTCTAACATGATTAATTGTCTTACGGTGAAGGAAAACTTCTTGAGGAAATCTGCATGTCTGAGAGAACTTAGCAAATTTTCAAAAGACATGTGAACTCCGCCCGCACTTGGCCAGTGTGGTGGACTATGGCCTGATCCCCCTTGTATTTAAGGGAGGCCCGTGTCCAGTACTGAGACGTTAGATAGGGCGGAATACTACTACCGTGAAATACTTTGTTATTTTTATATTTATTAACTTTACATGTTTCTCTTCATTTACTCAGGTTCTCTAAACCAAGAATATAATGTTCATTTAAATGGTACATTAAAGTTCTACCTCTTCGCAGAATAGGTAGTAAATATGTATGTATGTTTTATAATGTGTATAAAATCTAGAATTTTAAAGTTTTCCAAAGATTACTCGTAGATTCCAATTAGTAGAAATGGCTATATTTATATATATTATAAATATTAAGTATAGGTATATATTATAAATAGCTTTTAAGCCTCTTGTGAAGTATGAAAAAGTTCAAACGCTTTGAAATGAATTGCCTCGGTATTCTTGAATTTCAAAGAAAACCATCAATTTAAGTCTCACTATTTATACGGTTAAATTTTGGGAAAGTTTAGTAACCGATAATATTTCTCGTTCTCATCTTCCTTAATATAATACTTTATATAAGTTACTTGTTGAAGTAGTTGGTACAGCAATCACAATTAATATTATGATAAATATTGAAAAGTCTGTAAATTTTCATGTCGTGATACACAGATGGATTTTAAAAAAAACTATGTAGTTAAATAAGACCTTTATCATGATTTAGTTTAAATTTTATGAAGTTCTTTATTATTGAGTTTGAGTAGTCTTTACAAATTTTTGTATTTATAATCTTCAAATGCATTACTAAATAAGAGGTTTACAATGCCATTTGGATACCACAACTAAATGAAACATTTACCATCAGATATTTGGGCCAGTACAAAGTATTCTAAAGTTTGAAACACTCGAGGAGGTAATAGACCGTGCAAATGATACCAACTTCGGACTAGCGGCAGGTATCTTTACTACGTCTGTCGAGAATGCGCTACAATTCTCGAAACATGTCGAAGCTGGCACGGTTTGGTAAGTATTTTCTAATTAATATTATTATCAAACTAGCATTATAATCAATATTATTAGAAAAGCACAAACAGGTCTATCCCACGGGAACTGTTCATTTTTTCGGGATAAAAAGGAACCTGTTGTTTGACCGGCAATATAAGGTATCAGCATGCCAAATTTTACTAAATTATGTGCATAAGTTATTGTGTACTAAGCAGTATAAGTAACTATAGTTTTTTTTACTATACCACGGGAACTCTTTGATTTTCCAGGATGAAAAGTATCTCAAATGTCGACCGGTGATATAAGGTACCATCATGCAAAATTTCATTTAAATCGGTCCAAGAGTTTCGAGAGAGTAGACCGTAGAAACAGGTAACCAGATAGACAGAGAAACAAAAAAAATAAAAAAAAACCTGGATTTGTTCTAATCCCCCTGACTCGGTTTTTAGCATTTTTTTCTATGTACAGACATCCGCTCTATTATAATATTTATAGATTCAAGAGAGGATAGTACATTTGGGATATTAGTGAGACTATCTACTTTCCACGTTTAAAACTATTTCTATACAATTTGTTTTTATTTGAAAGCTACTTTAATAGGGATGGTTTTATACAAAATACAAAAACACCATTTGTTGAAAATCTGTTCAGTTGTTTAAAAGATTCTCAAATCTTAATCAGAAAATAATTCATTATATTGTGATTTGCTGTAAAATTTTATTGTAATTGCAACATATGATATATAGATAATTCCAAAAAATGAACCTAAATATTATATTTTATATTTGTTTTCTTTAACTTAATATTTATACTAACGCGTAAACTAGTTATTCTTCGGGGATTACGTACGTCACGAATATATGTAGATTTTCATCTGGAGTATTCTGGTATTCCCAGAAGCAAAAATTCTAAAATCTATAGATTTGGCCTCTGTATCGATAAAAATGTCTATTTCAATGAAAAAAATATTTAATGTACAGATTCGGCATAGTTACAATTTTATTATATGTATAGATATTATCACGTTACGTAATTTTACTCATTTTGTTTGCCAATTACTTCATTTATTTATTTTAAACAACACGTTTAGTGCCGGTTTTTTAAAATCGCATCATATGCGTATTCCATACATTTAATACGATGCCAGCAAATTAATATTTGTTAGAACGAAATTAAACCAGCTTCCAATTAAAATGTTTACATAAGAAGGGTTATGTTTGCAAGAATTTATTGTTTAACGTTCTCTGATTTCATAAGGAAATGTTATATTTAAATTACTGTAGTAAAGTAGATATATTGAGCGAAAAAAACATTTTAACAAATTTATCGCGTTAGTATAATTCAAATGCTTTTTGATAAAGTTTACCTGAACTTTTAAAGCGCAGGAAATGCGTTAGAGAATAAAGTGATAAAGAATATTGGACCGGACGTAATTTGTGAATGGACCCATATAAATAAACCCCTGTATTCTATTCAGTATCTACTCTATTATGTTGTTACTCTATTACGTAGTTGTCTTCAGAGTTTACATTAGCGAGATAATTGTTGTTTCATTTAAATAATTATATGCGATTTTTCTCTTCAATAAACTAACCTTTCTTTCATCTATACTAATATTATAAAGAGGTAAAGTTTGTGAGTTTGTGACGTTGTAGGAGGTAATCTCTGGATTTACTGAACCGATTTAGATGTTTGGTAAGAAGATAGTTTGAGACCCTGGGAAAGACATCGGGTACTTTTTATCCCGGAAATCATCCCTTAAGGGAATGAAAATGGGAATGAAAGTTTGAATGGAGAATCAAGCTAGGGACGAACCCGAGCGAAGCAAGGGTGAGTCGCTAGTATTACAATAAATTTATTCCAAAATATTATATGTGCGTTTAATGATTTATTTTGTTAATAAAACATTATTATTGTGTATATGTGACACGCACGCCTGAAAGTTACTAGTGTAGGCACTAGCCATTCTATATTGTGTACGTACATTTTACGAAAATGTGAACAATTCTTACGAGACATATTGCCTTATTTATTACTTCTTTCGCATATAGGTATTCTGTATTAGGAATTCTTTAGTATATACATACCTGTCAATTATCTGCTAACGAAATGAACGAAATGAAAAAAACTTCTATGATAATATAAATTCAATTGAGTGCCTATTTAGCGAAATATTGAATACCGTATGTAATTGATTTTGTTTCTAGTTGTAGTAGAATTGTAAAATTTAGTCAACTATTTATCCTAAATAGAGTGATACAAAATCTTATTATATCCGGTGTTATCAAAGCGTGATATTGCAAGTTATAGCACTTAACAATTTGGTACATGAGGTTTATGCCTAGAATAAATTTATTTATGAACGACGTAATAAAAGAGGTTGTGAATTTGGTTATTTTTTTAGTACGCATGTAATACGATATCGTAGAATGTGAATTGAAGGGTGAAAAAATTCACAGGTAAAGGTGAAATAATTACTTTTAGGTTGTTTGAACGACTTTAGTCGATTTCATTTTGATGTTGATAAAGGCTTTGTTACTTTTTTTATACACCAATACCTGCTAATGGGCCTGAATTTTTATGAAACTCCTTAAAATGTAGAGTTCAAACTATTACTGAAAAATAGAACAATTGTAATAAAATTTTAAACAAAGTTATAATAAAATATATCTAACCTTAGTTCTATAAATTGCTATACGTAATGCAAATCTTTATTTTTCCAGGGTGAATACTTATTTGATGTTTAAACCCCAAATGCCGTTTGGAGGATTTAAAGAATCCGGAATTGGACGAGAGAAGTAAGTTTAATAGATATAAGCATTATTTGAAAATATCTTTTATGTTATTATCATAAACTTACGAATCGTACTCCAATTTATTTCATCTCGAAGATACGGCAAATGCTTGAAAACTCTACAACTAAATGTTACCTCTTAATGACTAACGTAGATATGTGATGTTATATATTTTCGTTTATTCTGTTTCTCTATATTTTTTTTTGTGGTTAAGTTCATTTTAAGTTCGTATAAAATTTTCTTATATTTTGTTAAGTTATTAAGATTTACATTTTTTTTCTATATTGAATTAATATTAACAAGCACTTGGAACAAGGAAATATTAATGTTCAAATGTAAATACATAAAATTATACAGCAGCAACAGTCTTGATGATAATCGTTAACATAGATACGAGCACAACAAGGAGAGTTATTGAAGGTTTTTCTTGCGTGGTGAAAGGATCATATCACCAGCAACACACAAAGTTGTGGTTTAGAGATCAATACAAATCAATTTTTTTGTTTCGTGGTTTCTGGGAATACCGTTTGGGCATAATTTATATTGCCAATCACCGCATGGAATTTAGAACAAAGCGTATTTTACAAGGTTTGTTTCATACAAACAAGCGACAGAAAGTATGTGTAAAATGTAACAGTGAAGTAATCTGCCCACCTGAGCCTAAAGTGCAGTAATAGACATTTTGGTCGGTTTTGAGTTAAATATATATTCTAAATCCCCATTTTAGTAGCTATCAGTCAAATTAATTCTTTTTTCTGTAGCGCTAATAAAAGTATTTTTTTTTAATGTTTTTTCGGAAGGTGTAACAGCAAAAATATCACAAATCTGTTAAAATATTCCATGTTTACCAGCTAAACCGCAGTACAATTAATACTGCACAAGATTTTTCTCTGTTTCCTAACTAAACTGCAGTGTTTTATCATATTTTGTGGCACTTAAAATAGTAGTTTGTTCTAGGAGATTCAAGAAAAAACTTATTAAAATGCAGTATTATTCGACTCTATACAAGTTGATTATACTGCAAAGGTTAAGAAAAAATGTTTTTTATTTATATTCCTAATTAAAGTGCAGTATTAACATTCCATACTGCACATTAACTTGTGGGGGATTTTGTAATTTCTTGTGAAAAACTAAAAGACATGCAGTATTTAATAACTTTACTGCAGTTTAACTTGTAGGATGTTTTGTAGTTGCTTGTAAAAGACCATTTAGTTTACAATATTTATAAATTTTACTGCATATTAGTTAGTTTGCTCCATCCAATTCATACTACCTAACATACTTAAAGTCAAATACTATTCCCTAATACTGCGTTTTACTAGGTAAAATTATTAAAATATTAAAACACAGGACAGGCAATATCGCGGTTTGAGGCAGTCCTTCTGTCTGTCTGTCTCAAGGATCTGTGGCTTAAGGCTGACTTGACATGCCATGCTGTGTCTGTACCAAAGAGATATGGAGGGTAGAACTAAGGAGAACTATTTCTCGTATAAAAAGTGACCGCTGACAAGCATTGGTGGCGCCACAGAAAACAAGTATATGAATCTATACATCTATACAGATAAATAAAATTGTAGTGTCTGTTTGTAATGTCAAAATAAACCTTTTTACTAAATGCATATGAAATTATATACGGTACTTATAAGAAAAGCTAATTTTTAAAAAATTTTGTCTGTCTGTTTGTTCCGAATAATCTCTGAAACGGCTGGACTGTTTTTGACGGACTTTCAGTGGAAGGTAACTGATGTTATAGGGAGTAATATAGGCTACTTTTATTTAAAAAAAAGAATTAGAGTTCCGCTCAAAAAAAAGTATCCAGGGACGAACCCGAGTGAGGCGAGGGTGAGTCGCTAGTTTAAAACATAACGTCATAAAAGTAAGAAGGTGAATTAAACAAGGAAAGAAAGATTTCCGCTTTGCTGTGGCGCACTTTTCTAAATAGTTCTAGCATAGGCAAACAGCAATATAATTATATATTATTTTCAAGTAATAATAATTCAGAACACGTCACTCCGTTAAAAACTACTAACTTCACATCACATCTACTTGCTACGCTAGTGCTGTAAAGCCTAGTTCGCAATAAGCTAGTATTTTAGTCTAGTAGCGAGTAATTTAGTAGCTAAATTACTCGCTACTCACCAAAAATCGTTCGCACTTTGGTCGAGTACAGTTTACAAGTGAGTGGTGTTTTGCAAGATGAACAGCCTACAACGCAATAAAGTAAATAAACTGATTAAGCTGATCGTAACGGCTATTTAAGAAGAGGTGGATGAGGAAATTTGTGTGATTAATAAAAAGAAGCTATGGGTACGAAAATGGATCGAAAGACAAGATAAACTAGGAGCTACTAATTGTCTTCTGAAGGAATTAGCATTGGAAGATCCCAAAGAATACTTCGATAGTTTGAGAATGTCCGAAAGTTGTGTATATTTTCTGTTAATGAATGTTATGGCGGCAACTAATGAACTCGACTAATTCGACAGGTTCATACTTGTTTAGCCGGTGAACCAGTGAACTCGGACGCGTGGTGGGGGCTGCAATTTGCCCAAAAAAATAGAATAAAATGGATTGACTCGACTAAATTACTTACTAAACTAATCGACTAAATTTTTAGTGTTCAGACACGTTTAGTTACTAAATTACTCGCTACTAGACTAAAATACTAGCTTAATGCGAACTAGGCTTAACGGTGAGTTTCTGAGCTATAATTTGCTGCTCACTACTGGACACTTTTTCAACCTGTTTCCCATATAAGTTAATTCTCCTTAGTTCTCCCTTCCATAATCTTTTCAGACTATTATTTTTGTAAGACAAGAATACTCATTTAGTAATTAGTTATGTTCAGAAGAAAGATTTTATGTAAATTTTATTGATTCATGCATGAGAAATACATGTGATATAGTTTTATAGAGGATTAACTAGTTAAGATTATCAACATCTTGTAAAGATTGTTATATTGTTAGTCATATAAAACAATTTACACTATTAGATTATAATGTACAATGTTTTGATGAATAGTTTTAATAGCATAGTCATAAATGCATGTCCAGTTTTGTTTAAGAAATTACATATTTTTATCAAAATTAAAGGTAATTTTATATTACTATAAGTGTGGAATATCAGTGTTTTGTTCAAAAAAACAGATTAAATAGCAGTATTTTCATAATATTACTGCACTTTAGTTAGTAACAATCATGGAAGAAATGTCTAAAATGCAGTAATAACAGGATTTACTGCATTTAAAACAGTTTTTGAAAAGATTATACAAATAAAGTGTGTGTAGTAATAGGGGCAAAAAAATTAAAATTGCCATAATTATAGTTTTTTATAAAAAAACTAACGTAACAATGTTTAGTATTTTAGTTTGGTACATATTCTTTCACTTTCCATTCAAGGTTTTATCGAAAAGTCTCTTTTTGATATATTTTTATGGATTCTAAACTTTAAGCGCGTTTTTCTCGAATTCGTGTTTTTGCTGTTACTGCACTTTAGGATCGGGAGGGCAGTAATATAATGTAATAGCAAAACAGTGATAAATTATAGTATTCAGTATTCAGGGACGACAATACGACTAATGCGAGTGTAAGTGAATCCGCGCGAGCATTAAGAGTTAACAACCTTTTGTCGATTGACACCGAATAGCTACAATGCGCACATTTTTACACTAAACGTTGAGTTAACATTGAAAAATTTTCGATTGAATTAAGCTTTTAGGGGGTTTTGGCTCTTATATACGTTTTTCGTGATGGTTATAGCAACAAAAAATTGTATAGGTATTTATTACACGTAATCAGTTTTAATTGCCGATTCTAGAACCCGAGTTTATAACAACAAGTTTCATTTAAATTAAACAAAAAAAATAGAACCCTATAATAAAGAACTCGAATTTAAACGCTTAAAATTTATTACGGCGCGCTAAATTATTATATTTAAATAAAATTTTATGCTTTAGTGCGAGTTAATGAATAATACAATAAAATAACTTTTTGCGTTAACATACTTGAACAAGACTAAATGTTTCGTTCGACAAAAGTTTTGCGGTTATTTGAGGTTAGCGAGGAAGTTAGCTATGATCAAACAATATCTGACATATTGGAAAGTCTTAGTTTATCATAGTTTTGAGCTTTAACAGTAACAACGTTTTACAAGTTATTAACATTATTTTATTTTCCAGTGGACCGATGGGCGTTGAATCGTATCTGGAGGTGAAAACTGTAACAATGGCAATGAAAAAGGAATTTTAATAAATGGGGCAAATTTACAATAATGTCTAAAGAAGAATTTTATTAAAGAAAAAAATTATGTTTTTAAAATAAAGGGACATTAAGCATGAGGTTTTTGTTTTACTGTATGAATAATATTTAACTGTGAAAAAATAAATTCTTATATATTGTGTACAACTATTATTTTTTCATAACAAATTCCCATCGAAATTGGAAGGACAGTATAAACACGTTTTTTTAATAATAGCATTTGCAAAAGTGTTACTATTGTTTTTGTGAATCTTGATGCCTAGAAACTTAAGCTTTATTTAGTTTTGCTTTAGTTTTGTAAACTTAACCCATAAACTATGTAAAAAGTATAAGATATACAAATGATTACGAAAATTCTCACCGTTTCTAAAACATATTACGCAAGACCTTGTGCTCGGGAAGAGGCCAGAGGGTTAGGTGAAAAGTGACAGTCGAATAACACTTCCGCCGTAACAGTTTTTAAAAATTAATATCCTAATTCATTATAATCTACGAGTAGATGTTTCGATCGTCGAGAAATCGCATAAGACATTTTAGGCATATTAACGAAAAATAGACAGCTTAATAATCCAAGATCCTAGGGCCACCAGACGTCACGTATTTTCTGCCGAACGAAATGTGGACGATTGGGTAGTGTTAGTATGTAGGTACTAAGATCATGCCTATCTGCTAACTTAGACGGCCAATTTCCAGGTATCAGGTAATCAAGGTACCTTAAAACATTACTTACCTTACGTACATTCTCTAAGCTGATTTTCTCGTATATTTTAGACAGTATCTTTAAAAATGAGTCGTCAATACTCCCAGACACATTCCGTCGGCCGTATTCCTTTACAGACGCTTTAAAGGTCCCAAAATAATTACTTAACTTCACGTAAATTCTAATGCTCCATTTTGATATATGTTGGCCAGACAACAATTTTAATACAAGAAGACAGACCGATCCAAGGGACTAATCATCCCCTAAACTCAATTTTCCTACCCACAGAGGCATTTAAATGGGCCCTTCCTCTATAAGGGAAAGCAGTGAAAAGGGTAAGTGGCATGTAAAGGCTATATTTTAATGGCATGACAGATCAAAACCTACTATTCCGAAGGTTATATTATTGCATGGAGCTCACGTATTAGGACGGATTTATCAATCATCAAAGAAAAGTTCTTCATAAAATCTGACCGAAAATGTAAGTGAAATAATCGGAGTATTTTATCTATATCCATATATTATATAATAAAATTCTAACTGAGTCGAATCTGTACATTATTTTTTTTTTTTGGAAAATCTTATTAAAATAGTCATTATGGTTGATACAGAAGCCGAATTTATAGTTTTTAAAATTTTTGTCTGTCTTTTTGGGAACGGGAATTTTATAATATTTCATATACTTAGTTTGGTAGAAAAAATAAATAATGATCCCATTAATTAATCTTAATTTCTTTGAAGCCCTTTCTGCTTATCTATACAGACAAATAAAATTGAAGTCCCTGTTTGTGATGTCAAAATAAAAACTTTTACTAAATGCATATGAAAGTATATATACGGTATATATAAGAAAAACACTTTTTTTAAATTTTTGTCTGTCTGTCTGTGTGTTCCGGCTAATCTCTGAAACGGCTGGATCGATTTTGACAAGACTTTCACTGGCAGATAAAAGTAAATTCAGCTGATGTTATAAGGAGTAACTTAGGCTACTTTTATTTTAGAAAAAGAATCAGAATTCCGCTCAATAAAAATTGAAACGTAGGTACTAACGGATGCACCCAAGCAAAGCGAGGGTAAGTCGCTAGTCTCTACATATAATAAAAGTTATAAAAAGTAAAAAATAACTGATTGGTAGTTTTCATTTACTATACATACCTAATCAAATATTTTCGAAGTCGGTGTGCTTTGCTTTGTATGGGCTGGCACCGATTTTGAAAATATTTGATTAGGTATGTATTTAATAGGTAGGCTTTAATTACTTAGCCAAAGCGTACGTGGCTAACTCTGGCTAAACCGTATGTACTTGAAAATTGTAGGTCTTGAAAAGGCCTACAGAAAAGTCTGCAATAGCATATGTCTATCTCCTAAAGTACACTCGCAATTATTTATATCAATTTAAAACGTACATAGGGACGCACACGAGCGAAGCGAGCGTAAGTCTAGCAACTTACCCTCTATAGTATAATAACGTATAGTATATATAAGTATAAAAACATACACAATATATACTCGTATAAGTATAGTATATAATAAAGTATAAAAATATATAGTCTACAAATGTATTAATTAAGCAACTCCACGTTCTATAAACGAAATTCTATTATCGAATAAATAATAATTTACATTATCATTTCACGTCACGCTTACACATATATGTATGTACCTATGTTACATATTGAAAAATAAATAGGTCAATATTTGAATAGTACCTAGTTTAAAACCTTAGTGCTTGACCATTCATATTTAAATAGCCTTTCTGTTTTTTTTTTTATTTTTACTGCAGTATAGTTTGTATGATAATACCAAGTTTGACGGTGACATCACGTATGAGCGTGTACCTATGAATTTATTTTCAAAGAGTAAAACAAAATTGCATATTTCGTACAGTGTTGACTTATTATTTAGTTTGTTTGTTTAATATTATCATATATGCAATATGCATATATAAATATTTTAAGCTGCTACTTTTTATAGTAGATTAAAATTTTGTAGAAGTGCAGACGCACGAAAAGTCAGTTTACTTTTTACTACTTATTTTAACTTTTAATATACAACTTATTTATAACTAGCATAGCCCGCGGCACCACCCGCGTTCAGACGACCAAAAACCAAATTCTTAGGTTTTACAGATTAGTATACTCTTGCATAACAGTGTTTGCATTTTTTCTCAGAAATGAGATATTTTCCCGCGGTGAAAATTATCGTATATGTTGACCCGGATAACCAGCTATCACCATACCAAATTTCATCAAAATCCCTCTAGTGGTTTTTCTGTGATGCGGTAACAGGCAGACAGACAGACAGACAGACAAAAATTCTAAAAACTATAGATTCGGCCTCTGTATCGATAATGATATAATATAAATATTTAATGTACAGATTCGGCTTAGTTATAATTTTATTATATGTATAGATTTGGATTACACAAAATACAAATAGATTTCATCAGATCAGATAATATAAATAGATTTCAGTTTCCATTCTGATTTACCTATTTGAACTCAGTTTTTAGTAGGTATTTTAAATATTTAATAAGTTTTTGCTTATTCGACTTAAATATTCATTAAATACTTACATATTATTAATGATGACGTTCATCAATTAAACTGTGTCTATCTTATATTTTAATTATATTTTCTATATTAACTATGTACGTACATTTTACATTATACATACATACATATATGTGTATATTAAGCACTGAACAGTAAGTGTACACTGAAAATATACCTAATTGCAATTAGTTTTAATATCTATGTATGTATACATATAATAAAATTCTGAATCGAATCTGTACATTAAAATGTTTTTCGAAAATCTTATTGAAATAGTCACTGTTATCGATACAGAGGCCGAATCTATAGTTTTTGGAATTTTTGTCTATCTGTCTGGGAACGCATCACGAGGAAACCAAAGGACAGATTTTGATGAAATTTGGTATGATGATAGCTGGTTATTCGGGTCAACATATAGGATACTTTTTACTCATAAATAATAAAAATATCTTATTTCTGAGAAATCTATAGTAAACGTTAAAACGTAGCTAGGGACGAACCCGAGCGGAGTATGGGCGAGTCGCTAGTATCATCATAAATTTATGTTTACATTAGGTATAGCGTATACATTACTTTTCTTTTTTTAATTTTATTCTTCATTCAATTCTTTTGTTAATGGCTTCGTGCCAGTGTTGTATCGGTCGATATTGTTCATTCTTATCTGTTTTACTTTTAGACTTTGATTTTTTTAATATAAACGGTATTTATTATTAACATTGTCAATGTGCAAAATGTACTGTATTATCTATACATATAATAGAACTATAAAGGTCGAATGTCTGTACATAGAAAAAAATGCTAAAAACCGAGACAGGGGGATGTAAGAAGAGAGTTAAAAGAAATCCAGATTTTTTCAATTTTTTTGCTTCTTTGCCTGTTTGTCTGTTTGTACGGGCTAATCTCCAAAACTGTTAGACCGATTTAAGTAAAATTTGGCATAGTGGTACCTTATATTCCCGGTCAACATTTTAGATACTTTTAATCCCAGAAAATTAAAGAATTCCCGTGGGATAGTTAAAAAACTATAGTAACTTATACAGCTTATTACACGAAAACTACTGATTGGATTTTAATGAAACTTTACAATAATGTAGTTCACACATCAGAATAACAAATAGGCTACTTTTTATCCCGGAAATATGTACGGCTCCCGTGGGATAGATTCGTTTTTGTTTATCTAGAGGCGAACCCGAGCAAAGCGAGGTTGATCCGCAAGTAATTTCTATTTGATCAAAAACATTGTATTTGGACGTCCTTCTGTAATAGTGAATTTAATAATGTAAGTTGATGCCAAAATAAGTTGAAACGAAAAATATGTATACTATAAGTCCACAAGGCTCATACAAAAGTGTTAAAGTACACCTCAACCTCACCTTAAGTCGTTCAACTAAAACATTGAAAATTTAGAGAGCTTTTGTTTTACTGAGATGCGCATGGAAGAGGGTGCACTATAATTATTCTTACTGCTAATATGTGTTTTGGCTTTTATGTAGAGAATTGTTCAATTATTTATATAAATACTATATATACATATAAGAATATATAACGTAACTTTTATTGGTTTGTTAAAAGAGCTTAGTTAGGGACAATCGTAAAAGTAATAAATACGTTTTTGCGGCCTTTTATCTTTAATTAAAGTAATACCACTCAGATAGATGGGGAGCTTTAAAACACAGTTATAAAATACTGAATCAGTCTCTTTTCAGCCAGTACCTACATAGCTTTTTTCCTAC